GCAAAAGCGACGCAACTCTTGAAGAGCATAACACAAGATGACCTGCAGCACTGCTTCCAACAGTGGAAAATTCGCATGGAGCGGTGTAGGGATCGGGGAGGGGACTACATTGAAGGGGATAACATTTCGACTGTCTGATTTTTTTTTAATAAAGGGTTAGAGCATGAATCCGGTTTCTTTATTGCCACACCTTGTATGTTTTCATGTACACTGCCATAATCAGCACATTAACATTTTTATTGTTGATATTTCTGTCCTAGTTAGATACTAATTTGAATTAATTATTAAACAATTCTTAGTGCAAACTTGGATATATGATTCCAGAAGTCTTGAGAGTTTTGGCTTCTTTCGTAAGAAATGTAACCACTTATCAGTGTTCAAGTTTCACTAAATCCAAGACACTGCCAGAGAAAGCTATAAAAAATATATGTGAATACTGCTGTGTTAATGAGCTGATGGTAAATGAGTATACTAGTGAGGCATGTTACAGCATGCACAACACATTAAATTATGAGAATTATGAAAATCATGCATGCTTCGTATGTGGATTCTTGTGTACATGATAATGAACCTTTGGATTCCATAAAAGGCAGGGTATTATTTGACTGAGTGACTGCTGGCTTCTTAAGAGGGCTGTGCCCCATGGAGTTAGTTATATGCTACTTGTGTCCTACCAAGAAGACTTCATATTAATTGAAAAGTATAAAACAAAATATCTATTTTTTAATTTATATAAATGTGATAACAGCATTCAATACTCACTTCAGAGATTCATGGCTGGCAGTCATGAGTTCACCGAATGTTTTTAGGTCACCTTGCTTGAGTGCCTCTGCTGCCTGTTCTGTGCGACTATTCTCTGTAACTACATGCTTTGCACGTTTGTAGAGTAATGGATGTTTTTCTCTGAGACCTGCAAAGGAGTTCTTTATAAAAATGGATCAGTAATGATAAATAAAGCAACAGTCATAAATTCTGATTGTTCTATGAATAAAGTTTACTACTTGAAATAATTTAGGAGGAAAAATACAAGACATGAACTTTCTCAACTGGAAATTAGTACATATATAGGATTATGCCTTTATTAGGATGGACTGTGCCCACTGTCTGAGGTATATTTGATACGAACATTTTGGGAGTAGGGTGAACTCTTTGAAACAAAACAAACTCCCTGGCTTTAGTCCACAAGCGAACTATACTGACCGAGCGACTGCCGCTTATTGGCGAAGTTAAATGCCAAATTTAGCGGAAGAAGGTGTCACATGGTCAGCACAACAAATCCCCACGGCTGTTAATTTCGGTTTTCTGGACCGGAGTCGCTACTTTCCCATTCAAGTAGCTCCTCAATTATCCTCACAAGGCTGAGTGGACCCCGTTCCAGATCCACTACTTCTCAGAAAATCTGGTAGCACTAGGAATCAAATGCAGGGCCTCTGGATCTGGAGCCACGAGCTCTGACCACTAGACCACAGAGGCAGAAACAGATATCTCAAATATATTTGAATTAAAGTGAGCTGTTTCAAGACACTCTAATGGTAGGTAGGTTTTGCAGATATGTTGATGACTCATTGGGTTCCATAAGAACAGCGAGTATCTTGGTTAGTGAGTTTCAGAGTAGGGAACTTTGAAATAACTACAGCTTGCCATCTCAGCTACTCATGAGCTAGCCATGGTCCAATGTCACAAATGACAAAGTCTAAAAATATTAATATACAGAGTGTTGCAAATGATGTAAACACATTTCATCAAGAATATCCACCTGTATGTGATGGAACACATATCTTATGCCTTTAAGTAGTGTGGCATGCTCTTAACAGATGGCGCTAGCCATAAAAACTCTTAATACCTCACACATGATTCAGCATGTAATGTATTATGGCAATGCAAGTTAATTTTGAAGTACTGGAAATTCACGAATGAGATTTTTTGGTGACTGTGTGAATTGTTATAACACAATAGCAGAACTTTGCCCACTTGAAGCATGAGGTCTTCCAGATTGTTGTTTGTACACACTTGCACAGTCCTATCGGTCTCAAATTTATCACACATTCTTAAGTTTGTTAGTTGTGTTTGATGCTCAGTTGCAAATTCACATGTCCACCGTTACTACACTTCATACCCATTCTCGAATTTCTAGCAACACTTCAGGATTACCTTTTATTGTATGGATGTCAAGTGAACCTCAGTCATTTTGTATTATACTGCAAATAATTGGCAAGGTTTTTGCAGTTTTTAATTGTGACTAATGCCATCTATTAAGTGTAAGCCACACTACTTCGAGCACATTAAATTTTGGTTCCACTATGACTACATCACTAGATAAAAGTACAGGTATCCCTGTAACAGGCCGTGGAGGCCCATAGGGTTGTGAGATGTTGAGGTTCCCACATTTTCTAGACAATCGGCTCATATATGGCGGTAAGGTTGTCAGCTTTACGCGCTGGCCACCCTTTACCCCCAAGAATAATCCTGGTACTCATTTCTGTTAGAGGCTGAGTGGACCCCAGGGCCATAGTGCTGCTGGAAGAATGTATCATTGAGTAACATGTAGGACAGTAGAAAGCAGGGGAATTTAATATTATTAAAGCTTATGAATATACAATAACAAATGGTGGAACTTTCTGTACAGTTCTCAGAGGGTGTTATACTTGTTTACTTTCAAAAATTACATTTTTTGCTTATATAATAAGCTTTCTATAAAATTCTGTTCCTCGTATATGCCCATATAAGAAGACCAAGACAATATACATTTCAAAATAGAGAAGCTGCCAGAAGGGGGAGGGAGATTAATGTAATGAGATATTAAAATGTTTAAGGAAATTGTTACCTTCAACATCATTTTCACTGGCATCACGCAAGCTGGATTTCCCAAGAGTCTTGGCAGCTGACTGACACTGTTCGAGCCGTTCAGCATATGCACTGCTTGCTAAACTGCGCTTTACATTTGAGTTGGTAATTATAACAGCAAGTTCAGGATCACTAATTGGTATAGCAGTTTCTTGCATTGACCTGAGAAAGTAATAACCCTGATCATTTTATATGGGAAAAGAATAGGAAAAATAAATTGAAAAAAAAAATGGAGAAAGATACAGGACTGCTTAACCTTTTGAAGACCCTGACCCAAATAAATTAGCTCTGCACGCTTACATTAAAACTGCCAGAGCCAAAGAGATTGGCTTGTTAATCATTTTTGTTGTTATTTCTTGGTGTGGAGTGAGGCTGAGTCTTCTTGGTACACTGACCACTAGCCTACTGTGCCAGCCTCAGATGACAGGAGTATGGAGCAAATAATGGAATGAGAATTTTATGGTAAACCAATGTAAGCAGATAAAACCTACATTGGTGCCACTTTATCCACCACAAATCCCACATTACCTGACCTAGGATCAATCCCACGCTGCTGTGGTAGGAAATATTAATCACATAGTACAGCATTTCTGTCATTAGATGGCATCAAATGTGATGTACCAGTGTTTAGAGAAAAGAATTTCTTTCATGTTATTGATACCTGTGATCATTCAAGATAACCTGAAGAAACATTCTGGGGTCTTGCATGTAAATAAATTTACGTATCTCCAAGCATTATTGGCATTTCTATCATAAGGTTTGGCTGTCAAAGGATTAATAATGGAGAATGGAAAAGACCTTACAGTAAATCAGCGTAAAAGTCAAAGGATGATATACTGGACCTTACCGACAGTCAATAAGCAAGGCAGTTCCAGACTGCCCCATTACAGAGATGAACTGGTCCATGATACCACAAGGCATATTAGCAAATTCATGTTCTGCTTTCTGACAGAGGAGAGCCTTATCTTTCTTCCTGGAATAAAATGAATAAAAATACAAAAAGAAGTGATCGTAAAGCTACCTTCTCTGTAAGCACTATACTTTGAAGCTTTATGGTGGGTGCATAGATATACAGACTACATAGATGCTAGACAGTGCAAAGAAATGGGATGGCGTATTGTTGATTGTGCAAAACACATGCACAAGTGATTGCAGTAGTAGAGAAGGGAACTGAATTGGTTGAAGAAATCCGAAATATTGAATTTTGCATTTATGACGTTTGAAGTTGATGGTAAAATTTCAGTGGAGGCAGTTGGTGAATAAATTTGTCTGAATTAGTCAATTGCATTAGAGTGAAATTGCAGTTTTGTACACTTATATAACAAGGAATACCTGTACTTTTATTTTTTGCACAAGTTTTGTTTATATTCTCTTTAACCTTGATTTATGAGATCATAATATAGTGATTATCAATTATGTATAGTATTCAAATGGTTCCTGGTTCATATCTCAACTGGGAGATCACTGTCCAAATTGCTTAACTCATGTCCTATAGGCGAGTGCCAGGATAGGGTTTTAAAACTTCTTTCCTAACTCATCATCTGTAATCAACCTTTCACTTATCTTTTGCCAGTATATAACTTATGTTTTTGAACACAGCATGGTTAAACACATCATGAAACAAGGAAGAGGGCAAATATGATTGACTGAATAAGTAAACAAGAATCTTAAGCAAATGAAAGGTCATTATTTTACTTTTTTGACATATTTCTTTACAGAGTGAACATGATTCTTAGCTTTGCTTTGTCTGCATACTTAGACATAACAGCCATGCTTTCTATACATGGATTTCTTTTATTGAAGTCTTCTTCAGTTAACATCATGCAATAAACCTCTGTGAGATAATATCTTATTCCCTTGAGAAACCAAACCTAGTTTGTATATAATTATGAAGCTAGAGATTTTAAAGAATTCCAAAATTTAATACTTTGTTAGCTGCCTTTTTAAATGCCTCCAGTTATGATGCTTTAAAATTTATAATGTATGCTGGCAAAGATGAAGGCATCCATTTCTGTGATGAGAGCAGTCATATGGTAGGATTCCCCAGCTTACTTCACACTACTGGGGAGCCTAATGTTCTCTCATTCACAGAAACTTATTTTTGTGTTTATACACAGGGGCCATTCACTGAGTTTCCTGCCTAGGTTTAAAAGAGACATGCGTATGTATGTTGTGGACCTGCCAAATGCCAGATCACTGACTCATCAAATTTAAAGTAATGACACATTCTTTGTGAAGAACACAATGGACATATCTTTCAAACATATTTCTGGACACAGTTTGTGTGGAATTGTGGAACCCATGTTTCATCACTTCCTGCTGCTATAGGCAAGAAAGTATCTGTAACCTGTAAGTTTTGAGGTTTTCACGGCGATGACAATGAAGAAAGTCGTCTTCTGGGTTTAGGCACCGTGTATTCTTCTTTTGGCCGATGTTTCAGAGGCGCTACGTTCCTCCGAAACGTCGGCCAAAACGAAGAATACATGGTGCCTAAACCCAGAAGACAACTTTCTTCTTTATCTGTATCTTGTTTAAAGGGCTCAGAATTTTCATTACACATTTCAGATTGGTGTCTCTTTGGATCTGAGAACAAAATGAGAATAGACCCTAGACATGACCATGTTTTGTAACTAAAATAATGTGCCCTTAGATATTACCAGTTTGTGAACTGCTGTAGTGATCTTCCATTATTATAGCCCCTATTTTTTCCAAAAGTTTTTTGGCCACAATCTTCAACAGGTTGTCCAGACCTGGAATTGTATCACTTCCCTTCTTCATTTAAAGTACTTGCTCCTAAGTTTTATTTCTAAGTAAACAAAGACCTCCTTTAAACTTTGAATAATGGTCAGAAATTTCATTGAAAGGTGTCTTCTTTTGTAATAAATTTAATTACTAATCATTGTTTTCCTAAATCTGTTGCACTGACAAAGAAAAGAACGTTTTACTTAGAACATCACTCAGTCACTGAGCTGACACTGGGTAGATGCACTCAATATATGTCAGTACATGTAACAGACCTACTGCTTGTTTTTCATATGAAGATGATCCATGAAAGCAACTGCCAGTAGTAGTATGGTTTTTGTAATGCAGAAACAACTGTGAAAGAAATTGTTTAATGAACTAAATGAATTCATTTTCAACAACTAAATGTTGACAGTTAAGAGGTTTTTCTGTTGGAACTACGACTTACATAGTGCCAGTTTCTCCTGTTAGAGCTTCCAGGAAGGTGTACACAGATACTTCAAGTGCTGCGCTGCTTGATAAACCACCACCAATTGGGACACTGGTTACAATAACTGCATTGAATCCAACAACTGTACCTAAGGGTTATGAAAATACATATAAAATTATGTCAACATTCATTCCTCTTTCTTCCTTTCCTTTGTGCCTTTCATACTATCACGTTTAGGGGCAACTACAGACAGGGTTTGGATTGATGAATAGATTTGTTGACCACTTACAGGTTGTGACTACGGATGACTAAAACACTATCATTATTTCCACACTTTACACTTCACTAGAGCACAGTCTAGTGTTCTCAGTCTGTTACTAGATGTAACAGCTCAAACATTGGCTATCCCTCTGCCTCCAGTTCAAGTCCTCTCTTTACAGACTCCTGTACAGAACTGACTATCAACTGACCTTGTACCTTGCTTACACGCAACAGACTACCTGCAGTGCTCAGTTTGTTGTCCCAGAACCAAATGCTTTTCTGTGTAAGAGGTTGACTTCCCATTGTGTTCTAGAACGACACTGAATGGCCATAAGAGATTGCAGTTCTGCTAGCCATAACACACATTGAACCTGTCCCTGTGGTGTCAACGTTGTTACTGAGCTCACCAACTGGCACATGCACATAAGCCAGGCACGAAAAAAAAAACTTTCAAAGTTTTCATTTCCGATGACTTAAACCAGATATATGTATGAGAATTTCTGATACTTTTTTTTTTTTATTTTGGATACCTTCCAACCGGACATCTGTATAATTAGAATGACTGCGTCAAGGGTGATACAGGCAGGGCATACATATAGCATTTTGTGGGAAAGCCAGAAAATGAGACTGCTAGGTGGAATGATAATATAAAAATTGATCTTAGAGAAATAGGATGGAATGGTAGACTGGATTTAGTTGGCTGAGGATGGAGACCAGTGGAGGACTTATGAAAACAGTAATGAACCTTCGGTTCCATAAAATGTTAGGAAATTCTTGAGTAGTTGAGTGACTAGTGGCTTCTCTAGAATGGGTCAGCTCCATTGAGTTCAGTTATGGAGGAGAGTCCTTGAGAAGCTCATCAAAAGATGCCCTGCCTTTATGGAATTCAAGAGTTCATAAGCTTGTTCACAGCAGCCAGTCATATAATGGCAAATGAATCCTATCCACATTCAAACTAACCTCTGAAATACTGTACAACTCCTTTGATGTAGTTGGCCCATTTTGGTTTCCCTGGAGCAAGTGTCTCCTTGGTCGGCACTGAAAACTCTACTTTCATAGGTTTGTCAGCATCCTTTGCTTCAGTCACAACCACACACTTGTCTGTATCATTCTTCTTACCAACGATCACTGTCAGCAATGGGAGAGCCTGATATTGATAAGACATCTCAGTTAGAGAGAGTTGGATGAGTGAATTACTTATCTGTGTTCTAGATTGTAGTCTTTATTTCCTTTGCCTTGAGCAGTATGGCACTACAATCAAATCATAAAAGGAACTGATACATGGGATCTGGGAAATTAGGCGTTTCTCATTTAACTCTTTGACCGGCACGAAGGGTATTTAAATCCCACCCCTGTCCTGGCAGACCCTTTAAACCTTATGTCGCTAAAATGCATGTAGTTACTTTTTCCTAAACAACTTCAACAAAAATTGGTTTTTAAAAACGAAATTTTCAGGAACTAATTAAAATACAATATTTTATGCAATAAATGCCTTTCCATACCCCTTTATTAGTTTTTTTCGTGTGATAAACATTGAAACATGAAAGTTTGCAGAGAGCCACACCACAGCCTGCATACATGATACTTGTTTCTTTTCTAATCTTGTGCTTAGCACTCACGCGACACTTTCTCAGGGCACCATTCTTCTTGTTACTGGGAGGAACATGGACCATTTTGTGAATTTTCAAGCCACCCTCTAGACGATTTACTGGCTCTTTCACTGGTGGTCTTTTCAAGGTCGAGGGCGGAGGCGTGACTGCACTCAAGTCTGACGCAATAGATTCATCATCCACTTCATTTCTTGACTCTTCTCCCTCTCCACCCTGTTTGTTTGGTTCAGTCATTTTTCTACACAGTCCAATATAAAATCTTTGAATCTGTAATTTCTCTTCTTGTATTTTTCGTTTGTTGTGTTCTTTTTGAATAGAATGAAACTATTCAACCGCAAAGACATGTTTTGTCCATACCATGGGTGTGAAATAGGGGCCTAGTGGACAAATATTCTTCAATTTCAGGGCGTTTGTCGATTCCTGTCATGAACACAATTCCTAAGTATGTCCAGATTTCATCTGATGTGACATAATTGTAATTGTGTTTTCGAGAGTGAGGAGCTAACTCATGTGTGTTGAAGTGCTGGTGAGCATAGCAATTGGTTTCAGTTGTGATGTGATTTACCAAGTCGTCATACAGAAAAAATTTTAATCCATGAAAAGGGATGCATTTTATGTGTTATATCAATTTTGATCCTGAAACTATTAGCAAATGGAAATATTGGGGGTACAATGTCTCCATACGTTCATGAGATGGGCGTGTCAGGCACCGCACTCATGGTAGGTAAATGTTCATGATTACTGTCTTGTGGATCATTGTCTATCACTGTATTATTGCCACTATCAACTTCATCCAATTCAGGAATCATTATTTCATCGCCAATATTATCATCAGAACAAATCTCGTTCACAGCATTTTCCAGCTGGTCTGTAGGAACACGAAGACACTTGCTGCAAGAAGCCATGGTGAAACTGAATGAATGTGAAATATTTTCTGACCTTTTCCTTCTCAGAGGGTTCTGACAGTAATATAGACCCCCACAAAGTTTACAAGGGTTCTTTACAAACATGCACAAAAAGTATCATATATATGTCTTTGGTTGATGAGTGCCAAGAGAGCAAAGAAGGGAAGAGATTGTCAAAGCGTTAAAACACGCCAACGCCAGGGAACGGCTGGCATCGTCCGGGCGTTAAAACACGCCCGCGCCAGTCAAAGAGTTAATTAACATCTGTGACATCAGAAAGATTTTGACAAGGGAACCGCTGACATTTATTATTATTTTTAGCCAGTCTCAATACTGCACATTTTAAGTCATGTATGATACGGACTGCAGGAGTATTATTGGGCTTGTGGGTTTGAAACCCATTCACAATGGGGATGTTCATATTTTTCTGTATTTTATTGTGTTGGCTATGGCAGGAAGAGTATTTGTAATGGGCATTTCCGTTGCCTAGGGAATCCTACCAAATTGCTAGGGGATTGTTGCAAAATTATGTTCTGAATTGGAAGGCCAAAAGGCGCAATCCATGGTAAATGAAGATCATTACAATTGTCACTATATCCTATGAATTAACTTTGGTGCATATGAATTGTTATTTTGGGTATAGCTTTTGGTGTTGAACACAGATGTGATATCAGAAGCATAGAAAAGAGAAAATGATAGAGTTATTTCAAGGTCAAGAAACCATACGACAGCATTATGGCAAATAATAAAAAAGGTATCAGGGAATTATCAAAAAAATGAAAACATTTCTTTAAAAATGGGCTCCATGGCAGTTACAAATCCACAGTACATATCTCATAAATTTAACACTCTTCTTGTAAAGAATGTGGATGGGACATTGAATTAAAACAAGGATTGTAAATTTAGTCATGACATTGTTAATAATAAAATATTAAATTCAACTTTCATGTTTTTTTGCACCAGTTACTGGAGATGAGGTATTAAATGTAACCAGTAAACTAAAAGGTAAATTTTCAGCAGGCTATAATGAAATACCAGAAAAGCTAGTAAAAGAAAAGATTCAGTTTATTAAAAAAATCACTACTATATTTACATTTCATTGTGTTCCGGAACCTTCACATATTTGATGAAGCTTGCAAAAGTTCTGCCTATTCACAAAAAAGGAGGGAAACAAGAAATTTCAAAATTTTCCAGTTTTTTCTAAAATTCTTGAAATGTTATTATATAAAAGAGTAACGATCTTCCTAAACAAGCACAATATCTGAGGCTCCAAATGGCTTCAGATAGAAGAAATCTACTAATACAGCAACTCAAACCTTTATAGAAGATATCCAAAAAAACATTAGATAACAAGCTGTTAGTTATGGGCTTATTTTTAGATTTAACTAAGGCCTTTGATATAGTAAATCATAAACTATTGCTTGAGCTGTATGGACTTAGAGGAGGAAAAATACACACATGGATGAGTTCATATCTTACTTGTAGAGGAAATACAGCAATTAGATGAAAAGACCTCAGACATAAAGACGTATAGTTGGTCATGTAAAGAAATAAAATATGGTGCACCTCAGGGTTTTATTCGAGGACCCCTTTTATTCTTGTTTATGTATGATATGAACCTGTTTAAGAAGCTAAGGTGTTGTTATTCGCAGATGACACAAGTATATTACTTACTGAGAAAAATCTCACATCTTTAAAAAGGAAAACTGTAGAAGATATGAAACAATTATAAAATTGGTTCTTGACAAATGATCTTATAATAAATATGGAAAATACCAAAAATGCTATTTCAGGGAAGAGGATCTAGATAATTCATACACCAGTTCTGTATTAGAATAATAAAGAAATAATTTATTTATCAAATTTAAAATTTTCAGGTATTTATAATCACAGAAAACTTATGCTGTCTTGTATATTGTTTTGTACATTTTTAAGAGTTGCTGACATGTAGTATTTGGCTGTTTCCAACTGACTTGTCCAACTGTGCCCGTGAAACAGTTATAGAAGTTNATAGATCCAGAGGTCCCGGGTTCGATTCCCGGGGCTACCAGATTTTCTCAGATGTAGTGGGTCTGGAACGAGGTCAACTTAGCCTCGTGAGGATAACTAAGGAGCTACCTGAATGGAAAAGTAGCGGCTCCTGTCTAGAAAACCGAAATCAACGGCCGTGGGGTTTCGTTGTGCTGACCACGCGACATCATCTCTCCGCTAAAGTTGGCACTAACTTTGCCGACAATCGGCGGACGCTCGGTCGTTATAGTTCGCTTGCGGAGTAAAACCACGGAGTTTGTTTATTATTAAATACATAGTCCTTGAGAATTTCGAAGTAATTTTCAAAATAAATTGTGTGGATAAATGACTAATATTTTAATGTATATCTAGAGTAGGCCCTAAGAGCTCTTTAATTCAAAGCGTTGACAGGCTTAAATGAGCTGTTTTCCACGTTAATATCATAGCATAGTCAGATCAGTAAGTAAAGCAAAACAATCTTATGAAATATAAGGCCATGTAGTCTGTTGGAAGTCTGCCACCGCTTCAGAGGAACATGATGCATCATGCTGGTTTCTTGTCTCTGAAACTGGAACTGACGTTTCTCCGAAACGTCGGATAACTTTCATGGGACTACACGGCCTTATATCCCTCAAGACGCGCAAGACAATTCTTCACAACAGCCGTTTCCACAGAATAATTTTTCCTCTGTGATGAGGGAATTAATAGGGAAATTTTAAACTCCTATTGGTAAGCTTGTATTCTTGATCGCAAATTATCCCTGGAATGTATGCCTCATATATTTTTGTAATGTTTAAGCACATTAATGTCAATGTGTTGGTTTACTCACCATGGGAAAAACAAATCCATCATTGTAATCCGTATGATCTCCTATTAAATTTACTCTTCCGGGAGCACATGCTGCAATTTCTGGTACCTGACCTATAAATTCCTTATTGAAAACCTCCAGAGCTTCTTTAACCAAATCTTGTTCTGTGCTAAAATTAAATGCCATCTTACTTGGTGATGTCGTTGTGCACACAGCAGTTTACGGAATACACAATGTTTTATTCTGAATATAAAAGTAGGATGTTATACGAGCGGATTTCAAAGGACACTAACACCAGTCCACACCGTTACCACATGATATATACAGAACAGTGTTAACAGCCCTTTGTAAACAACATTCTCTGTTAACCGGTGATAACATTATCTGCTATCGTGATAAGTATGGAAAGAACACGTTTGTATACAGAGAGCATTCAGAACGTAAACGACGGCACTGAGACTAAATTAACCGTTGTAGGGAAATTACGTGCTCCTAAACAGCATTGATTTTTGACTATTTGCAAAGTTGGCAAGAGAACAGTAGTACGGTGTTTATTGTTGCATTGCGGAGCATTATGTCGTAGGTTTCGTAGTAATAGGAAGGGTGGGTAGCCGTCGTCAGTAGTACCTGTTCTAACCGTGAAAAAACATTGCGTTTGATGGTGTTGGAGTACAGTAGTTTTTGCGTGGTGATGAATAGTGGTCAATGTGTTAATGTGTGCATTCATAAGCAATAAGAAGTAATTGGTTATTTTACAGTTAGGTATTATGAAACATGTCAGTATCAAATCCGTTGTTGAGGGAACTGAAAGGTAACCGATATAATTAGTGTTTTTTTCTTAGTACAGTATGTCGTAAATCTGAATTTTAGTACCCAGTTATAAAAGACAAAATCATCAGAAACTGTAGTTCCGTTTCTGCAACTTTAAACTGTAAAAATTTGAAACCTAGGCGATAATTCAGAATGTAACAGATGTTGATCTGAATTATGGATGAGGTTATGGAGGAAATGAACGTAAGGAGGTACTTTCAGGAAACACTGCCCTGAAATAAGGAAAGTACCAGGTTTTGGAAGCTAGTGGGTCCAAATCCTTGAACACATAAGAACATTTAAAAGACAATCATTGAGTGTATGTAAAATTTGGGAATGATTGGTCAAAGAATTATCTTATACCATAAATGTTTTCCAAGATCTTGCTGTAGAAAGCTTGAGTTGAGATATACATACTTGTGCTTGCAAGCATACAATTCTTCCATTATTAATGTAGACAAACATGAACTGGCTTCCAGTGGCATGATGTCCAACCCAAGATTCACGATAATTGGCTGTTTAGTTCAGGAGTTACTAATGGGGCTGACACCCATAGAAATTTGATGATGACAGACATTTCACTTTCCATACAAAATAGAGAAAATACATTACAAATAGTATTCTTCTCTATTGTGAGTTATTAGTCCTTTCCTGTTATGTTTGTTAAACACGAGTGTTTAACGTGTTTCATTACGCGAGACGTGACTCGCGTAATGAAACACGACGTAGAAAAGAAATATGCTGTACAATTTTAGTATTTTAACACTTGACATTTGTCAGTATATATGATAAATATATATTTTAGTTATTTTAGTATGTAAAGACAAGGCATGCAATGAATTAGTTTGTCGTGGATTGGATCAGCACCTGAAGATGGCACATTGATGCCGAAACATGTAGTGAGAGTGAAAAGAGGGGATAAATAAATGTATGCACTAGAAGACGGATAAAATAAATCATGGACTTAAATCAGTGCAACAGGACGCTAAAATATAACATTTGTTAAACACATTGGTGTTTCATATTTGTTACTTCTTTTGAAGGTTGTGTTCTCAAGTTGGTGCAGATGTCAGGTAGTAGTGAAATCACTGATGACAATGCAGAATTGCAACATTTTTGCCAAAGTTTGGAAAGAGTGTTCCAGAAAGGACTGTTACGGAATACTGCCTTGGGATTTACAAACGTATTTGAAAGCTGGTATTGGCTAGAACAGTTGGCCTGCCAACACAGTGGGTAAGTTTCAGTGTGTAATATTGTTTGTCTCTTCTGTATTCTGTCATTTCATTTAACATAAAAGTGATTAAAATGGTAAGTGTTAAGGACAGACAGTCAGCATAGGTTTTTCACTGATACAAGGAGTTTGAATTATTTCCTGCCTTCACTGAGGTCTGTTTTCAGATACCTGTAAGATTTCTTAACTATCTGATCATTATGTGTGCCTTCTGATTTAGTGAAATGAGTATTAACAGATGTGAACAATGCCTCTAGTATTGTTTGTATTGTAGATGGTTGTTTTGACCACTTTTTGCCAGTGAAGTGAATGAATCATTGGAACTACTAAGGTGTCAAGAATGATGGAGTTCAACCATTACATTTAATATGAAGGAAATTACACTACCAATATTTAAGATAGTCTGCTTTTAGATGTAACATTTATAAATCATGTAAGATTTGAGTTTTTCATGGCAGTGACTATGAAGAAAGCAGTCTTCTGGGATGTGGCACCATGTAGATGTGGTGTTAACCGACATTCCTCTGAAACATTGGTTAACACCACATCTACACGGTGCCACATCCCAGAAGACTGCTTTATTTATAAATCATGTTTGTTTTGTTTGTATCATGAACCAGAAGTTCTTTATATCTTAAATTCATGATTGACTGAATGAATGAATGAACAAATGAACTTTTTTTACTGCTGTAATTCTTATGTTCTTGCGCATGCATGCATGCCCACACACAAACACATACACATGAACACATTTATAAATGTTATGTTATTGATACTTTTTATGTGGTACTGATTGTATAGCTTCCTGCACTAGAATTTGCAGTGTGGACAGTCAACTTTTACTATATTGCAGACTAGCAAAAGTGCCCATTCATCATCCAGGTTCTTCTTGAAAACTATACTGAAATAATTAAATTGCTTATTTATTGTGATAGTCCTATGAATATATATTCATGTTGACCAATTTTATATTGTTACTGACATGGCACTACATAATGATTGCTTTAAGCGTTACTGAATTGTTGAACAATGAAAGGGCAGTGAAATACATTGCATTTTTTGCACAATAAAGACAACAGGTAGGGTCACCTCATGACCAGGCCAGAAACAGAGAACTGGGAGACAGAAGGCTTTAATGTGTAAGCTTTGCACTGTATCATCAATTTAAATTATGTAAAACAATTTATTGTGTTCTAGTGCTACATTTAATTATATTTCATCAGTGAATGCAGTGAAAGCATCACAGAAAGTGGTGACCCCTACAGGAAGGCTGCGTCTCCTCATACGAACCTGTCTTGTCAACAGGTGTCTCCATGTTCCTGTAGAAATTCTGGTATGTTGATACTGCTCTTATATTCACAGTGTGTGAAAAGTAAGACAAAAATCCTAATAAAAACATATAAAAATCATCTCATTACTTTTCAGAAACACTGTGCATTTGCAGTCATGGAGCTCATCTATCGTTGAGTTACTTCATCACAAAAAATAAAATTATCATTTGCTACATATTTCTGTGTTCATTTGAAAGTTGCAGAATTTGTCTATGGTACAAACAGAAGGAAATCATTTTATGCATGGGAACCATGATTTTTAGAGTTCTGGTGGGACTTTTCCTTCTTTGGAACCTAAGTAGCAAGCTGTCTTTGTCTGTCCCCTAATTCAGCCTTAGGCATCATTACTGTAGACACTGATTGATTGATTGGTTTGATTTTCATGCACTGGAGACCTTACCCCCTTGCCATTACTTTTTGTTATCAATGGTACCTAAATGGGGTCTGCATGACATGGTGATATGAGCGAAACAATAGCACCATGTTTGATACAGTTATTTCTGCAATATTTCTTTCAGCCTCTTTTTTATGTTAATCCATAGGCCTGTTTTTTCAGGATGCATATTTTATCATGTTTTGTGCTTTCTTCTAGGATTCCTGCCATTAGGAGAGTTGTCTCTCGTTTGCGTAATGTGTTTGAGTGCCATTCATGATACATATTTATTCCATTCTGTTCTCTTTGTATTGTAACGTGTTTTGCCACTGAAGACGCCATTCAGATTGTTAATTAGTTTATTTATCAATCTACAAATCATAACTACAATTAATTATGATAATGTTGTGGGTTTACACGCTTTACAAACCCTACTAACAAATCTCTTCACACTATCGCGATTCGCTCGCTACAACTGAAGTCAGTAACTACTACAATTCAACTGTCTTCAGCAGCTGCTACATTTTAACTAACTGGTTACTCTCTCTCTAGTAACTGGCCCAATACTCACTACTGAATATTGTTCGCTGCTCCTTATTTAGGCTCAGCATGGACAACACAGAAAACCGTTACGTGATAGGTACTGCTGTTGCATAATGTAGTGTTTACTGATTGCCTAGCAACAGTCATTACAGGGGCTCCCCTGTTGCGTGACGCCATGTTTACAGGCATTGGTGGGGAATGCTGCCCGGAGTTGTTTATTGCTGCATAGTAACCAGTGCGCTTCGGCTCGGCACTGAGAAACCCCGCATTCCTTACTGTTGTGTAACCTTGTTTCCACTGTTGCATAACTTGGCAACTGTCCGTTTATCAAGGGTCTGTCTTCATGGTAACTCATTCCACCTCCTGTTGCCCAGCAACGGTTAGACATGTCACAGTATTTACCCATTCTTCTTTTCTTGGATACCTTAGTAATGCCTAATCTCTCTGCTTCTCACATGGTCAGTCCTTGAGTTCCCTGCCATTTACCATAGTATACTCATTCAGGTGTTTCCAGTGTTTCTTTTGATTTTGTGGTATCTTATTTGTATTTAAGTTGTTTATGTTAGAGTGGGCTGAATAACACTTTATATATTCTTACTTTTGCTTCTCTGCATATTCATGTTTCCATATGGTATCATTCAAGCATTCAAATATCAGGGTTCCTTATTTGCTTGCTTGTATTCTGTTTGTAGGGCTTAGTTGTTATTTCAGCTTCATGCTCTGGCCACTTTACCTCCCAAGGAAAGAGCCCCCAGTACCCATTGGATAGGAGGTTGGGTGGGTCCCAGAGCCGGTTTGGATGATGTGGAGAAGAGAAAATTCTTGACCCTAACAGGACTCAAACTCTTGACTCCTCGGTTGTCCGAGCAGTAGCAAGTCGCTATACCGACAGCACTGTCCTGGCTTCTGGCTATAATTTTAGAAATTGTCATTTGAAATCTCTGACAACTAAGTGGAGACTGAAATAGTAGTCTCTGCAGATTATCATCCAACATCTGTAATTATGTAATACTGCATCATTTGCATAACAAGCCATTTCTTTCTCTTCCTCCAAATGTTTATCCTTATTTTCCCTTTTTATTTTCCTATTGTCATTCACTACCACATTAAAAATAAATGTACTTAAATAGTTCTCTTGTCCTGTCCTTTGCTTAATTGATATCTTTGGCGATAATCTCTCATCTACCTTGATCTATATAGTGTTGTTATTATATGCCTTTGATCAATAAATTATGTATTTACTACATTACCTTGTTCAGAAACATCTAAAACTTATTTTAACTGTAGGCTTTTGACAGCTTCTTCTGTGTGTACAAAACATAAGAAAGCCAGTTTATTATATTCAGATGTAATTTCTGAGACTTGTCAGTTTAATTTTAAATGTTCTGCGTTGTTCATGATGTGCATTTGTACCAACCGTCTTACAGTGCACACAATTTCACCTTTCTCTTCACTACATGTTTTGGCACTAATGTGCCATCTTCAGGTGTGGTTTTGTTTACGTCAAACCATTGCACTGTATGCCATCATGTCTCCTTTATAAAATGATTAAAATGTAAATATGTCATGTATAATAATAAAATTTATATATTAAAACTTTTCAAGATTTATCATCTATATGTTGCACTTCAAATTCGTGAGTTACGTCAATCATCTCCTATCAGAGTACTCTTCCTATATTATTGTGTATATTGTGTCCTTCCCTTGTGACTGCGTGCGTTGTATTCAACACAGTCAAGGTGAAATTGTGTACACTGTAAGATGGTTGGTACAAATACACATCATGAAGGTGAATCAGTGCAACAGGATGCTAAAATATAATGTTCTGCTTTGTTTCACTCATTTCATGATACTTTATATTTCAATCAGGTAAGGAAGAGACATGCAAGGAACTTCTATGATGAATCTCTGTCAGTCCTAGGAGATGAAATATTAGGGGAGATCTTCTTGTCTGTGCTTCTACAGTGCAGTCACCTGCAGTTCAAACTTCATCTATACAACGCTTCCTTCCTTGATAGTACCTGGTTGTTGCCACTGTATATAAAGCTTGAGTTTGTCCCTTGTAAGGTTCTTGGGATCTGTGCCTGGTATGTTTGCTTCTGCATACTAAAGTGTTGTGATTAATCAACAGTTTTAAGAAGTTCATAATTCTCTTTAAACAAAATATTTATTCACTTACTGTGTATAAGAAATTTGATGTATTTGTTTTAGTTTTATTACTTTTATTTTTTTTTTTAGGGGGTGGGTTTGTTTTAAAATCTGTAACAGGTTTGTATCTCTAACTATAAAGTATTAAATGGTAGGATGATTAATGAATAATTTAGTTGGTTGAGGAACTATGCTACAAACCAGAAGGTCATGGGTTTGATTCCTGACGAGGTCATAGGATTTTCTCCAGTTGACTTCTCAGTTTGTGTGATCATGAACTGCATACAATGAAACCATCATTTAATGTTCTTTGAGTTGAGGTTTCCCCATGTTTAGTGCTCAGTTTCACTGATCTCAAGGCAGTAATTTCAATGTCAGACTTGTATTTAAGATTTTCCTCAGTTTCATATTCAAATCCACTGCTTTCCAGAAAAAACTTTAAATTGGGTTTGGTGTGTATGTTCAGTTAGGAGACTTTTTAAGTCTTACATTATTCAGTTTAAAACCCTGTCATTGTGTTTGTGCTGTTGTGTTATATTTTAATTTTATTTGATTTATCAAATGTGTTCAAACTTGTTGAGAGAGACATTGTTCCTGATTCAAGAGTAAAATTAAAAAAAAAAAGGTATTCCTGTAACAGGCTGTGAAGGTCCATAAGATTGTAAGATGTTGAGGTTCCCACATTTTCTACACAATCGACTCATAGATGGCGGCAAGGTTGTCAGTCCTATGTGCTGGCTGCCCTTTACCCCCAAGAATATTTCTGGCACTAATTTCTAGAGGCTGAGTAGACCCCCGGGCCATAGTGTGGCTGGAAGGATTAGGTAAATTGAAAAAATCCGCCTCATCAGAATTCAATCCCATGACCTTCCGGCTTGTAGCATAGTGCCTCAACCAACTACACTACCATGTGAAACATTAGAAAGAATTATCCATTTGTCATTTAAAAGAATAACATTTAATACTGGATTTGGACTATACCAAAACTTTCTTGTTACTTTACTGTATGTCACGTGATCAACAGATATGCCTGTAGCTAACTAACTTTAAGATATTTCTAAGTTTGTAGCTACTCGTGTGCTCAAAACATTTCCATTTTTTGTGGAATCCAGAGATTTAGAATTTAAGATTTCATAGCAATGAACACTGTTGTTATGGTGTTTGAGATGTCACACTGTGTAGTCTGGTAGGTAGTGGTGCCAGCATTTTGGAGGAGCATGCTACCTCCATTTTCAGGATTCTTCCAAAATGTTGGTGTCCACCTGTCAGACTACATGTAATAACCCAGAAGACATAACATTATTTGTTACCATGTTAACGAATGTCATCAGTGAACCATATCTTGAGATAATTTAATTCACTCCATACCCATATGACCTGTTATGTCTTATATCTGTACATATTATCCTCCTTTGTATGTCCAGATTTCCAAAGTGGTCTCTCTCCCTCATGTGGACTGAAGAGTAGAAATTATGAAGCCCCATATATAATATTCTCAATTCTCCTGTTACTGTGTCCGTAAAAAGTGAAGTTAATAATCAAATCTGAGATATTTTTTTATTATTTTGCCTTTATTTGCTTTTCCTTATAGGCATGTTATTATTTTCATCTTGTTTGCAGTTTTGTCAGTGGGAGAGCTGTTATTGTGGGAGTCGAGAGTGATGGTGTTGCAGCTGAAGATGTAAGTGTTCATGATATTCAGATAGATCTTTTCAGTGTATTTTAAATTAGATCACTGAAATGCCAGTACAAATATAATGTCATGACAACAAAATTCATGGGCCTTCTACTTCTAGTGATTTTAAAAATTTCTTCTTCTCAAAATTGGTTATCAGTTTAATGATACATAATTAGCATGAAAAACTCAGCGAACTGAATCATTGAGCAATGAACAGTTTTTGTGCTTAACTGCTGACAATGTGTACTGTATGATTTTCTGTTCAGATAAGAGGATTATGGTAAGCAATGCTGCAGTACCAAACTCTGACACATAATTTAGCAGTAAGTTTATGAATTGGCATTCTTCTAGAAAGCAAGGTGCTAATACTCAGGTATGATTTAGTGGTAGGGTGATACCAACATGGCTGTATCTTTACTGTACAGCTTTTATTGCAGAAAAATGGCTCTGAGTTCATGATATATTTTTATTGTAGTGTGATTGTTTATTTTTTGGTAAAAGTTTTAAAAGTTGTTCCAGATTCATGGCAGTATTTATTGATGCTTCACATTTTCTATAATTTTATTTATCCATTTCCATATTCTGTAACAGTAAAAGTGGGCATAATTCTGCAGGTCTTCTGGAATTAATTTTGACACTGTTTTGATTTTAATGCTATAGTAGAAGTTTTGCTGGTTTTGCAGGACAAGATTGAAATTGGAGACGTCTTGGACGAACTCAATGGCAATCATATTACGACCACCAAACGAGGAAAACTCTCATCCATCATGAGGAAAGCTTCTGGCCAGCCAATTGTTGTTAATATAATTAAAGTATGTGTAATTAGTTAAGCACAGGGACAACTTTACCTTTATCTTGCTTTTTTAAAATGGGGATGAACTTTCAGCTTTTCTAAGTCGGGGAATTTCATTACTATTTTAGCTGTCAGCTGCTGCAGAGAGATTTTCTATATAGTGAAATTACTAATACTCTTCCCCTACCTACTGAACTGTCAAACAGGTACAATACCGTTCACAGTAGCAGTAAAGGAAATTTAAATGTCCAGGTTGCAGCCTCATAGATGGAGTTAAATTATTGAGGTCTTTCCTTCTGCACTTCCTTTTGTTAAAATTTTAATAATTTATAGTTACAGTAAAACTTGGTTATAGCAACATCGGTTTCTGCGACACCTTGTCTATTGCATCAAATATTCAATGGTACGAACTAATTCCTCATAAAGCAACTGTTTTTATACCTTGCTTAGTACGACATGCACAAATGCATCAACCTCGTATGTAACGTCATTTTCATTCCTGAATTTCTCTGATATGGACATTGAACGTAATTTAGAAAGTGTGTATTGGGCAAGTAACAGGAAACAGATGAAGATAACTGATTGCTGTACTCGTATCTAGGTACAGTAAGGCACAACAATTGATGTAATCTACTGTAATTTGGTGAGTAGGCCTACCTTTAATATACAGTATTAGTGCGGTGTGTATTGTCAGTGAAAAGCGCTGTAATATGTCTTTGATATTACACATTTGGGCAATTCCACGTTAATGTTACGTTAGTCTGTAGTTAACTACGTATTTCACTAAAAAATGCAACATTTTAGCTCGGTTTTTGGTAGATTTTTACGTGACTAACATAAGGCTACTGTGGAAGTGCCCATTTCGGTTACAACGACATTCGTTTATAACGACACTATTTTTAGGTCCCTTTGATGACGTTATAACCAAGTTCTACTGTATTTGTATGCAGCAAAAATCATCCAGAAGATTTATGAATATTGGTTATATTTATAAATCCATAAATTTAATACAGGTTTTACAATTTTAAACTTTGAGAGAAATTTAAGCTGTAGAAATAACATAATTCTCAGTAAGAAGTGGATGGGTTCTGTGTGAGAAAGCCTCTGTTACTTCTAGACATCAAATTGGCAGCACTGCAGTGTTTCTAGGAGCATGATGTAACCATCTGCTGGTCAGGGTTCAGAGGGTTCATACTTCTCTCCTGGCTGGCCTTTGTGATGTCAATGTTGAATTTATTTAGCGTTATGGCTTGTCTTCATGTCATGTATATAAGCAGTGAGCTTCCCAAACATGACCACAGTGTCGCTGAATGTTATCACTATTTGCAGCCAGGAGAGATTGACAGAGTTGCTTAGTTTTATGAAAACTGAGTGTGTGGAATGAGATAGGAAGACTAAATATTGTTGCTGTGGACGAAGTTAACATTTAGCTCTTTCTTATTTTGCTTATATTGGACATCTTTCAGGCTCATTTACCTGAAACAGGAGACTTATTCCCACCTATAAGAAGTCTTTTAAAGCAAGCACAACTAGACCCAGATGAACTACATTCACGGTATAGTGACAGAAATAAGCAAAGACAAAGAGAGGAAACTGAGCTAACGAAGAAGCTGCCTGTAGCATCCAGGTTAGTTTTCCTTAAATATTTAAATGTAGATCAACTTTTTGGTGATAGCCATGCATTAGTAAGTAGTTAAAAACAGATATGAATGTCTACCGTTTGGCACGCTGAATATTTATGGTGTTGTTATGGATTTTTGAACTTTGCCGATGCAGTGCGGTTTTGGTCAAATTTAAACTTAAAATCTATAGAGATGTCCAGTTGTTACTGTCTTCCAGTGCACATGAAAAATTCTGCTTTGGTAAAAAATTTGTAAATATTGTGGTGGTCTTTACTGAGATTTTTTTTACACTAAACCACAACTTTGTGTTAATAAAATTGTAGTGTTCTCTTTAGGAATTTTCATGGAAGGTAACTTATAATCCATCCAAACCTTAAAGTATGCTCAGATGAAATTCTGCAGCCAAGGCTGTGAATTTACCTCAAATAAAAAATTGTTTTTAAGGATGCCTTATTTGTAATTTACTATATAAGTCATTCTGAAATCAAGTTTTGTGTAATTTAGGACTCCATGAGATTATCAGAGGTTCATGAGTTCATTATAGTTATCAGTCTAAAACACATTTATGGCATGTTCACACTGAAATGTTCTAGAAATTTGCCTATTAGCTTCACAATACTTGCCTGTCTGTCCACATGTAACAACATTATATTTGATATTGTGGAGTTTTACTGCAATTTGTTTACAGTGCAGTTTGGTTGAAATCATACAACTGTAATGAATGCTGTACATAAAGATTTTGTACAATTTTGAATATAACTCACTAAATATTACACTCTGTGACCAGTACATGTTTTCTGTAAGTCCTGTGGTATTGTTAAATAAAGCTGAAGAGGGTGTACTCCATTGTGAAGTGAAATAGATGGAAGCACCAATATCGTTTTTTGAAGTTTATTAAGTTTAATAACAAAAATTAATAGTGCTTGCAAATCTTCTTATACATGTGGGCAACTCTCATCATTACTTTCATTTGGTTGATCTATATGAAGCGTTCTTTCATTTCCTGTTGACTTGTCTTCTAAGTACAATAATAAAAAGTAATGGAAATGCATTTAACTCTTATTTTCAGACCTGGCTTTCATGTGAAGTATTTAGGCAGCTTTAATACGGGGAAGCATGGTGATGTGAAGCAGATAGATAATGCAATGAGAATAGTCATGTTTAAGTCTCATGGATCACATTGTCCAGCACTATTTGAGATTCAGGAAATTGGAATTAAAGTCACAGAAAATGCTACAGGGAAGGTATGTGATCCAGACACGAGAAATACTACTTCAGACAGTGTGGATTATCTAAACGCTGTACGATTTTGCCTAACCACGGCTTATCTCGGCCTTCTTCAGTTAATAAATAATTTGTCATATTCTAATGGTTGTTTAAATATGTTTTTATTATTTACTTCAAAAGAGCTAACTTCTCATGAATTTTTAATCACTATTACATTTTTAGAGCATTTGTTCATGTAGACATTTTAATTTGTATTGATCATCTCTTCTACTACAGTCAATAATTTCGTGGACTGTGGTTTTGTCGCACCATATTACAAGATACTGACATACACTTACACATATTCACATCCTCCCTCAAAATAGTTGCCTTTTGTCTCCTGTTATGATCCGGTTGAGAAACATCCTATCTTTGTCAGCGCTATCGATAGGCCACCGCAAATGCTCATGTAATTGTCATGTTGGTCTTGCGTCAGGGTGCGTGGAACACTGTGCTGGGTAACATGAGACATGTTCAGGTCATCAGACAAAATCTGTGGCAAGTACCATGGTTAATCCCTGCTGCTGCTGCTGCTGCTGCTGCTGCGATTTCATCCACTGTTCGGGAACNTCAGACAAAATCTGTGGCAAGTACCATGGTTAATCCCTGCTGCTGCGATTTCATCCACTGTTCGGGAATGGTTGGCGTGCACCAATGTTGCAACTTCTTGGGTCTTGAAATCAGTTCTGATCTTTCATGGCCACCCAGTATGCTCATCATCTTCCAAACTGTTTCTCCCCCGCGAGAAACGTTTGCACCACTTAAACACAGCGCTACAGCCTAAGGCTTCTTCATCATAACTTGCTTGATCATGTGAAATGTTTCACTGGCAGATTGCCTAAATTTTCGGCAGAAGTTGACATTTGCTCATTGCTCAAACTGTGACATTCTCGATTTCCACCGCTCGCAAACAATTGCCCTTCACATCAGTAACTTTCTTTCTGAATACAACTCGTGCATGCAACTGGTTCTTGCTGGGAGGAGAGAAGAGCAGACACAGCACCATCTCGTGCCTCCACGTATCTGCTGTAGTGCGTAACAGGGCCACTATGTGGCCAGTCCTCAAAATATTGAGTGTAATACAGAGACTATATTAGTATTCAAATTTGATAATGGTAGTTATAGTAATATTGTATTTCATTTTACATTTCTTCTGGATCATAAAGAATATTTAGAATGTTGTAAGAAAGGTTGTATGAATCAAAGTACAGCGTCTGGCAAGGAAATCTGATGGTTCATTAATCAGCATAATAGTAGAAACATCAGGTTTCCCTGCTGGGCCCTATATAACCCTTCTGTCCAGAGTCTGCATTTGAGATTAAAGATTGCTAACACAAAGTGTTGGTTAGTTAGTTAATCAAAGAACTTCAGGGATGTATTTGACAGCTAAGCATTTCAAGGTTATGTTTGACAGCTGAAAGCTAGTAGAAACCTGTATTTTTGAGAATCATACACAGGAAAAAACTGATAAATTCAGTTATTGATAAATTCTCTTAATTTATATATATATATATATACATTAAAAAAATGAACTGCCATAACTGCTTGTCTGAACAGCAGTTTACACCATGAAAATGTGTAGTTTGAAGTGTTGTATGTATGTCCATTACCATAATTAGGGCATTCAAAATTTTATTCCAAAATGCAAATACATGATAAGATTTAAATTGAGTTGTACGTTGATCAGAAGCTGAAGCATAAACATTGCACATAGCAAAATTGAGGAAAGTTAGCTTGTTGTTGTTTTCTTTCATTCATCTATACAGAATGGCTGCAGACAGGCTTTGTCACAGCCACCATGACAAAGAGGCAGTCCTTAAGGTCATCAGTTGTGTATATAGTGTGGTCTTATGGGTTATGAGAGTGTGTACCTCTGTAGGTGTTTACTAGCATTTTGGAGAAACATGTTGTCTTCATCTTCTTCTACTCTGAAGATGGATGAAGCAGTTTCCTGTGATATGCTGATACTTGCCTACCAGACAACAAGGTATCATAACCAGGAAGACTGCAATCTGAATCTTCACCACTGAGAAGACCTCAAATCTCTTATAATCTTAAATTAATTAAGTAGGGGCTGGACAATTAGTAGTAGGCAGAATTAATAATGTGTCTTGAGATTCAATGAGTTTCTCACACATTGTGCATTGTATTCATGCAGGTACTGCTGAAGCATTCTTACATGGAGATCTCATCTTGTGGTATGAGTGCCAGCATTCCAAACCATTTCTCTTATATTGCAGGGTGAGTTTCACTGCATGATCACTCTCTTCAAAGAGAATATTTGGAAATTCTTGCGAACATGATTCTGCAAGCAACATACCATGTGTTGAAATGATTACCTCATCAATTTAGTAGAGTATTTTCTAGCTTTCGTCAGTCTAGGAGTCCCTTGAAAAATTACAATATATAATCCTCCTCTGTAAATATCTGTAAAGAGCAGGGAATTTCTTTACCAGCTGAGTGATTTTCAGCTGCTCAAGAAAGACTGGGCTCCATGGTTTTAATCTGCAAGTAAGCTATACCGACCGAGCAACCTCCGCTTGTCGGTGGAGCTAGTGCCAACTTTAGTGGATAGAGGGTGTCGTGTGGTCAGCGCAGGGAATCCCCATGGCCGATAATTTCGGTTTTGTAGACTGGAGCCGCTATTTCACTGAAATAGCTCCTCAATTACACTTACGAGGCTGAGTGGACCCCGTTCCAGACACACTACTTCTCAGAAAATCTGGTAGCGCTGGGAATCAAACCAGGACGTCTGGATATGTAGGCAGGAACTCTGACCACTAGACCACAGAGACGGTCCACTTATAAATATACACATAATAAGTGTAAATTAAGCTGTATGAAATCTTTACTATGTATAGGAGGGCTGTTGAAAGCTGTTCTTCTGTGCAGGTCTGAGAAACAGATTTTGTTTTCAGACTCTGCTGTGAAATATATCAGAGATAGATTGAAGTATTTTCTTGTGCTGTTTTAGTTTGTGTTCCTTGTAACCTGTCATGCATGGTGTGTAAATCCATGCAGTGAATCATCCTGGTTTCGAACAATATCATATGCCAACGCAATAACAATTGGTTGTAATTTCTGTTTGTTATAGAGACGCAGCTTGTAACGTTGCTCAGACATATACATGCTTTGTTTTTCACTGCAGTAATGAGGAGCATATCCATACAATCCTACGGAGCATTGGTAAGTATAAAATAGTTAGCGTCTGTTTATGTTGACCACCTCTGTGGTCTAGTGGTCAGCATTCCTGGCTACAGATCCAGAGGTCCGGGTTCGATTCCCAGCACTACCAGATTTTTTCGGAGAAGTAGTGGGTCTGGAACCGGGTCCACTGAGCCTCGTGATGATAATTGAGGAGCCATTTAAAGGAAATAGCAGCTCCAGTCTAGAAAACCGAAATTAACGGCTGTGGGGATTTGTTGCGCTAACCACGTGACACCCTCTATCCGCAAAAGTTGGCACTAAACTTCGCTGACAAGTGGCGGTCGCTCAGTCGGTATAGTTTGCTTGCGGACTTAAATCACGGAGTTTTTATGTTTTATGTTAATTTGATATAACACACGTTGTAATGCAAAAAGACTAATTTCACTGAATGCAGGAGGTAGACATTTAGGTATATGAAAACACGTTTTAGCATTTGATCTTTGTGTTTCTGTTATATACATAAATTTAATCCTCCTCCAAAGTAATCAGATATGATTCAGAGACTTGCTTATGGATAGCAATCTGTTCTTTTACACTGTGTATTATGATGGCTATTTGGAAAGTTTGTTTCTTTTAGGCTGGGCATATTGCAAGATGATAACCATTATCAGGTATGTCCTAGTGAAAATACTGGTATATGCCTGATGATGATTAGTCTTTTGACTGACAGATGTCTTAAAATGAGTTAACATATGAACATAAGTGATGTCTGCATGAAAACCGCTTTATCTGAAACAAACTAAGTGTTGTGAAGAATAGTCCGAAGTATAATCATTATTTGCCGGTCACAGTAGCCGCGCAGTCTAAGGCATGAACTGTCTTCGCTCGCTCAGAAGCCGGGATCGTGGGTTCGGATCGGTTTCCTGTGAGGTACGAACTGAATTCTTGTATATTATTCTTATACACTGCTGGTCACGGTAGCCGAGCGGTCTAAGGCATGCACTGTCTTCGCTCGCTCGGAAGCCGGGATCGTGGGTTCGAATCCCACTCAGGGCATGGATGTTTGTTTGCGTTTTTCTGTGTTTGTGTACAGGTAGAGTCCTTGCGACGAGCTGATCACCCGCCCAAAGAGTCCTACCGAATGTGTAAGATCTAGAAAAACCGAAGTGAACGGAGAAGTTCATGGAGGTAGGCCTAGGCCCACTGGGGCTCTAGTGCCAAGGGGAAAAAAATCATTATTTATTCTGTTACAACGAAGGGATGCTGCAGTATAATATTAATATTTGTAGGTAGCTACCATTGTTGGGTAAGACCATACTACCTCTATGTTCAGGATATGAAGGCACTTCCCTGGAAAGAGAGGCAGTATTTTCTTACAAGACATTGGTACTTGTATACCAGATTACATGATGCCATAAGTCAGAGCATCACAATATCAGTTTTTACCTCCATGAAAGTATTAAATCTTATATTCATTTGTAAGTTCAGATAGAAATACTTAAATGGAAGTATTTTCTGCCAACTGAATTATAGTAAGTAATAGAAATACATTTATGCCTAGTGGTTATTTTATTGTAATGTTGTTTAATTTGTTCTCATGTTACAGGCCAAGGTTTTCAGAGAACACACTTTGCAGTGTGATAAGACGTCGGAGGTACTGCATATTTTAAAATAAGTCTGCTTTGAAATAAGAGTACCTGCATCTGATGTGTGTTTCAAATAAGGCAGCTCAGATTCTAAATATAGTAATATTTATTTGTGTTTCTGGTAAAGGGTGGGTGTTTTCATGTATGTTCCATGATGATGTTTGCTCATTGTTTTGTTTATATGCTTAAGTTGTTGGAATCTTTGTTTATATATAATTGTCTTTTGAAGAATTGTTGTGTACATACAATATGTCATATTTTAATTATATATAATTGATCAGTTTTAACTTAACTGATATAACCATTTGGGAGAGAGTTGATCTGCAGGTCTGCTCTGAAATATTAACAAAAACAATAATACAGTTAATTTATTATAGTAACAACTACTATTATTGGAATAACAACACTAAACCGTTTGTTATTTGGTATCTTATCCATACACACATGGCTACATTTGTTAATATTGTACGACTTAATCACAACTATCATGTAAAAGTCCATTTCTAACTACTTTCATACACTTACCTCTCTTATTAGCAATTAAAATGTTACTGCACATTGCAACAATGCACTCACTTTTTGCCATCTTGAATGGATGGATGTTCAGATTGTGCTCCAGTTTGTGACTCCATGTTATTTTGTGGAGGGATACCATTGCCTTCAGGGTCTTGAGGGTCAAAGTTTGTTGGGTGAGGATTTGGGTGGTTTAGCCAATAGTAGCCCATACTGGGCTTCACCTTCTGTCCCCAGCCCATGGGTTTGAATGAACACTGTCTGATGTAACACAATTGATTCTTCATCCTCCACACTTCAACCCTAAAGTCAAAAGCATCATGTTCGTCTGAAATGTCGGTAACCATATATGAGACTGTAATGTCAGAAACCAGAGAACAAAATCTGAAGAAATGGAAGATTACACATTACTAACAGTTTGGAATTAGAAGCAGTTTTTATGTAGTACTCGTATTCTCAGAAGTGACTTTTAAACATAACTGTTGGTGTTGTTTTCATGCTGTACTTAAGATGCTACAGTATCCACGATAGATTTTTTTTATTGCTAGTGGGGTGGGACTAAGTCCTTTGTACTGCGGCCACTTCTGGCATATTGCACCAGCCTCAGATGATAGGTGAGGGTGATTGTGGAGCAATTGGTGGAATGAAGATTGGCAGGGGAAACCGAAGTACTCAGAAAACCTGCCCCAGTGCCATTTTGTCCACCACAAATTCCGCTTGACCAGACCCAGGATCGAACCCTGGCCGCCATGGTGGGAAGCCAAGGACTAACCGCTTGAGCTATGGCGCGGCCCTTATCCGTGATAGGTAGTTCTTATTTGAAGTTTGTGAGACAAATATAGCAAAAGTTAGATACACAGACATTGACCAGTTTTCAGTTTCCCTTCTTTCCCACCTTTCTTACTCTTTCTCTCATTCTCTTTCATGCTTGCTTTCATAGCTCTTCCTCCCATATCCACTGTGTGTCTATGTCTGTTATGTAGTATGGGCAATGTCTTTCCATTTCTAAGTCTACGTAATAGGGCTTGTGCTGAACAAAATTAGAACTAATGCCAGAACTTGTTGACCTACAGTCATATGAGTTATCCTTGACCTTTAGGATTCTCACTAATGAATTTCTGCATAGTTTGTTTGAATTTGTTAAAAGGGATATCGGTCTAGAGGCAGATATCTCAACTTTATTACCTTTTTTAAATATCGGAAAAACTTGAGAAAATTTTAAATGTGTAGAAAATGTGCCTGTAGATAACATCCTATTGCATATATAAATCAAAGGAGATTAGATAAATGGCATACTCAATTTTACTATCCTAGACGATGCTTCATCATAGCCACAAGAATCTTTCCATTTCAAACTTCTGTTTATCTTATAAATTTATTGGTAGGAAAGGTTGGTGAGGTTCATGTACTAGGTGTTCCAAATACGAATCTTGATTAATTTGGTTGTGGTCTTGCTTAATTATATTTAAAACAGATTCATCCACATCTTTAGAGAGGTAATTATTAAAGGTATCTGCCAAAATTTGAGGATTTTTAGTTAGTATCCCTTCAATGTTCAGCATAAGTTCATTCTCAGTATTAGATCTTTTATTAGTTAGGATAAACTTCAAAATCACTGCCCAAGTTGTACATTACCTTGGCTGCACATTCCCTTCCATGGCTATCCCTGATGATTAAAATCCTATCCTTTTTTGGTCATGTTTGCTTTTTATAGTGTTTTCTCACTTGTTGATTCTTGGTTGAATTAAAGACCTGGGTTCTGTGGACTTCACTATTGAAAGGTAATTTGTAGCGGTTATTTATGACAGGTATTCTATAAATGTTTTCCTGTCTACCATTGGCAGTTATCTTATGTTTTCCAGTCACTACATCAGTCCACTTTGGTTCAATTGAAGTTTGTTATATTATGAACTCTTTTTTTATAACAAAACATGAATTGTTAGTTATTTGGAACATCATTGACATCAGTTCTTCCATGTACTGATTTTTATAGTTAGGCAAGGAATGTTTGCATATGAAACAGTAATGTTTGCTATTTCAGCCCTAAGTACATATTTTATTTTACATTTCAAGTAAATTTGAGGTGTACCTTATTAATCAGTAATACCTTGTAAAGGGAGTTCACAGTGCTGAATATAATTGCAAAAGAAATTACACTGATTCTGAACATTGCATTCATGCCTGTCTAATCATGTGGTAACTTCAAGCATAACAGTAAGAGGTATTTTTAGATATATGAAGAAATAACAACATACTGGAGTGAGGAAGTGCAGTTTCTGTGAATTTTGATTCTCTCTTCTTCTAGTACATTGTTTCATTCATGGGAAGTACAAGAAAGGTCTTAGTATGGTATGTCAGATTCTTGTGCATTCACTTGTTACATCAGTAACATCCACTTTTGTGTATGTGTAATTTATGTCAGTGTGACTGACAAATCTCCATATTTATTTTCTTCTCCATAAAAAACAAATCAATTTTTGCAGCCACTAGGGATATGCATACAATTGAAAACCATAATTCTCACTAGTACACATTATGAGCTAAGCTTTGCAGATTCATGAATGAAATAATTAGGCTGCAATTTTTTTTACTGTACAAGTTTTTAATGACTTTGTGCAGCGTTTCCCAAACCTCTTTGTCAATGAAATCCTTTTGGCCTGAAAATGCAAGTGAAACTGCAGACTAAATCTAAGAGGCCACTAATGTAGAACAGACATGAAAAGGTATTGTTACTGTATACTGTGAAAAGAGAATGTCAAGGATTATAAACACTGGAAACCTTTTCTATGAAATACCATTGAAAGGTACATTTCTGCTTTCCTAATGCAGAGTCCCTGCATGTTGTTAGTAATACTGGAGTTCGATTCTTGTACAGGCACAGCATCATTAAATTTCAGTAATTTGTTTTGTGGCATTTTATTGTGAAAATCTGATTTTATATGGGCATATTATGGCAAAGTGATAATGCTTCACAGTATCCTTGAATGAGATTCTCCAAGAAATTAATGAAATTAATGATTACTTCAGTGTGAAATTAAAAGTACAGTATAGTAATATCTTTCACTCCATGTTATCCACAGAATCTGAGTGCTGTGGAACATGATTTGGGTTTTACTTTTTTCAGATATTGAATATATTAATATACATAGTTAACATATCGTAGTTGATGGTCCAAGATAGCATAGTTGGTATATTGCCTAGGCTGCAGGCTGGGCAGCTGAGGAATTAGGGTTTGATTTCCAGTAGGGGTAAAAGGTTTTGCTCTTCTCCATATGTCCAGACCAGCTGCAGATCCTACCCAGCCTCCCATTCAGTGAGTGCTGGAGGTAAATTAGCCAGGGTATGAAGCCAAACATCCATCTCCATCTAACACCAACGTTAAGAATACTGAAGCTATACCTCTACTCCCCCATATATATATATATACATGGAATTGTGTTCAGTTAAGCACAGGGCCAGCTTTACCTTTTATCTTGAGGTCTGACTAGTCATGTCTACTCCATTGAAGGAGAAGGAGAATGATGAACATCCTTACATTTTAAGACATGGTTTATGTGAAAGGACAGAATCTGGTAATATGTGTAATAATGGTAGGAAAATTTAAGTTTGTTATTTCAAGCTTGTTATAACCTGCGTCTGTCTTTGCACTAGTGCTTGATGTGAGGAGTGTTTTGAACTTTTGTTGTATTGTGTATAGGAAGATGAGTAAAAATATTGTAGTGTAGCATCATATTGTGAGAATTTTATTGTTGCGTCAACACAATTGTTTGTATAAATTGGTTATACATTATGTATTAATGGCCAGCTTCAGGTACATAAATTCTTGCATTTATCCATGTTTCTGTCTGCTAGCCATTGTTTACAAAGTGGCAGTGCTTATTCAGGTTTTTATGTTTATGTAATGTCACTTTTGGTCACGGTAGCCGAGTGGTCTAAGGCATGAACTGTCTTTGCTCACTTGGAAGCTGGGATCGTGGGTTCAAATCCCACTCAGGGCATGGATGTTTGTGTGCTTTTTTCTGTGTTTGTGTACAGGTAGAGGCCTTGCGACGAGCTGATCACCTGCCCAAGAAGTCCTACCCTATGTCTAAGATCTAGTAAACCGAAGTGAAACGGAGAGTTTCATGGAGGTAGGCCTAGGCCCAAACGTGGGCTGTAGCGCCAGTGAAAAGAAATGTCACTTTTATATAAAAATGTATTAATAAAATTATAATTAAAAATTAAGATATTAAGAGGTGTATTATGGTGTAGTTTTTCTTGTCTCTCTTTTTGCCAGAATATGCTAGTCATGTTTACCAGTGCATCTGTTCTGGGTTCTTGCTGGTATTTGTAAAGTTATGCTCTATGGTCTGAAATATGAATGTATTATTAGGATGTGTATTTAGGTATTTGGAAGGGGTATACATGACTGTTTTTTTTTTCATACCGCTTATTGATGATCTGGTTCTTTCTTTTACTGACCTGTGTGTATGGCATATATTGTTTCCAGTATTTCTATGGAATACATTCTTTCATCAAGTCCTGGGCATGTACTAGCAGTAGACTCAAATTCAGCAGTTATTTGTGGCATAGATCTTTATATATCTCATATAGTAAATGAAAATCATTAGGAGCTTGGGAAATCTGGCTCACATTTGGAAAATTTTGGATAGGCTGAGGTGTAAAAAAATTCTTTAGTAAGTCTGTTTAATGTACAAATATTTGGAGACCAACTAATGATATTTTTTCATAGTTAAAGATATGTCAGCCATGGAAATTTAAAAATTATTGTGCATTAGGGGTTCTGTATACTGAGAACAGCCATAATATATGGGCAGGCGGCGTTAAAAAAGTAGAGTCAAGGTACTCGAAATGAGCACACTTCAAGAGCGTGAAAAGGATGACATGATTGACAATTGACAGAGCCATCTAGTGGCAGAATGGAGAGACTTATTACTAGTTTTAGGTTTTGCTTGTGATGGTACATAATGCCGTGATTAACGTGAACCTTCCAGCCACTCTATGACCCTGGGGTCGACTCGGGCTCAAACAGAAATAAGTACCAGGAATTAATTACATAATTTTCCTGGGGAGTAAAGCGCGTAAGGCTGACAACCTTACCGCCATCTTTGAGCCGATTGTGTAGAAAATGTGGGACCTTCAACTTGTTCAACTTCTCACAACCCTATGGGCCTTCGCTCACGCGGTTAGTCGCTGGCGTCGCTGGCTTCCCACCGCGGTGATCAGGGTTCGATTCCTGGTCTGGTCAAGTGGGATTTGTGGTGGACAAAGTGGCACTGGGGCGGGTTTTCTCCAAGTACTTCGGTTTGCCCTGCCAATCTTCATTCCACCAAATTCTCCATCATCATAGTCATAGTCACCCGGGGCAGGCTACAATAGGCAAATCAGTGGCCGCCGTGCCGAGTGGACCCAGTTGGACTCAACCCCCCACTAAGCGAATTAGAAAAATAAAAGTACAACAAAGTCTGAATAAAATATCCGATTTGTCATCTCATGTATCTACTCGTAAACGGACAACGGTTGAATTATCTCTTCACACATTTTCAGTTTAATAGACATTTCTTTGCCAACCCTTTGAATCACTTTGATGAATCATAATGAATTCTAAATTTTCAAATAATTGGACCTGTAGTATATAAATTTTCTAGATGGTTTTTATTTCATAGATGGCAGAATTGTTACAGTCTGGGTACTTTCATAAAGCTGTAGATGCAGATTTATATTTAATGTGAAGATAAGGAAAAAAATGTCAACATGAAAACGACATGAATAGAAAAGGACGTATCTGATGCGTGATACGTATGGCTGTTTTGTGTGGACAAGCGTAGTAACAATTAAGGAAGGATTCTGCAGGTGCGGAGAGGTTAATGTACAACGGAAGCATTGAAGTTAGTATATTGTTTGAAAGGTTATTCAGCAAATCGTGAATATGATAATATTGTGGAGTGGTGTTTGTGTTTCTCTGAAGATGCTAATCTTGGTATATGCAGCAGAGACAGACTTGCGACCCAATATTGTGATTATAATGGCAGATGATATGGGTTGGGGAGATATTGGGGCCAACTGGCCTGAGACGGTGGACACCCCGAATATTGACAGTCTGGCACGGGAAGGTCTCAGGTTCGTAAGAGTGCGCTTAGTCAGATGTATAATATCTGTAACTGGAAACTGTATTATAGCTATAACTTGGTTAATTAGGATCATTTTAAAGATTACGAAATTTAATATTTAGAAAATATACAGCACACAATAGATTCTGAGCATAACACTGAAATACATCTAATACGGCAATTCATCGTCTGTAATGTAAAAGTACGTAAATTAAAGCTAGCTTTTTCTTGAGATAATGGCAGCTCAATATATCGTACTGTAATTTTGAAGATGAATGAAGACCATGCGATAAGTGAAGAAAATTGTCAGCATAGTACTGTGCATACGACATTATTCTGAATGCACATGAGCCTTGTTGTATATTTTGATATCTTCACAATCAAAATTTTCAATCAAAATGATCACATCCAACAGTCGGGATGTTGGATTACTTAATGACCCATTCTGGCCTCGTGTATTTAGAAGCCTCATTAAAGTTAGTCCCATGTTCCTCGATCATGTGGTTTGTGATTTTGTAATGGTCTTGGAAATCTCCCTTTTTTTGCTTTCTGTCATGTTGAATCCAGCAGGGTTTATAGTTTGAAATTTTGTTTAGTGTGGGTTCTGTTTTAATTCCTAAAACGTGCTATGCTGACTCTGCTATCCTGGCTCCTCAGTCATGTATATATATACGTAAAGGTAAAGCTATCCCTGTAACAGGTCATGGAGGCCCAGAGGGTTGTGAGATGTCAAGGCTCCCACATTTTCTAGACTTTCTGCTCACAGATGGTGGTGAGGTTGTCAACCTTACATGCCAGCTGTCCTTTACCCCCAGGAAGATTCCTGGTACTTATTTCTGTTAGAGGCTGAGTTGACCCCAGGGTCGTAGTGCAGGTAGAAAGGATAGGTCAGCTGGAAACAAATTATACATATAGTTATGTATTCCCCCCCATGTGACTCTTGTATCAGTCCTAAAATGTACATTTTCAGAATAGATTAATTTTAATCATTAAATAGTTATCTGAAAGTCTGAAGTAAGTACTGTTTGATAGGGTTGTCATGCTGCAGGGTTAGAAGGGGGGGGGGGGGGGGAAGGCTAAAGTGATATCCCTGGCCTGATGGTGGTAATAGTGGGAGGACCCTGCATATGACATGCCAGTTCTGGCATACAGTGCTGAAAGAGCAGCTAGGGGTGACTGATTTGTTTATACATTCATTTGTAAGCACTGGTTGAATGCATTGTATTCAAAATTGTGCTCAATACACTTATGTATGATTCACCGTGTTAATTGACGTTTTATATTCAGTCAGTTTTGCATAATATATACAGTAAGTCTTTGTTATGTTTATGAATGTTGTTAGAAATAGTTTCATACAGTATTCTAATCACTCTTATTGAAAAGTAAACTGCCCTGATTAGCAGCAATGAAATAAGGTGTATTTGAGCAGTTTTTTATTTGAGGGATGCTGAACGCATGCATAGTACTAACTGAGGTAAGAGGAGATTCTGCTGTTCCAGCTCTGGAGTAGGTTGGTACTCCAGTATTTGATCACCTTAACCAGTAGCATAAAGAATGGAACAGTGCACTCCCGTAGCATCCACAGGCTTGTGTACCCATGTTACTGATATGTACATAACATGAAATATTACATTGTTAAGGCCCCCGTCCCAGTGAACATTGGATAGGAGGGTGGGTGGCCCCCAGAGCCATTCTGGATGGTGTGAAGAAGAGAGAATTCTTGTCCGTACCAGGACTTAAACTCCAATTCATTGGTTGTCTGGCCCATACCCAGTCACAGTACTAACTGCGCTATACCTCACCACCATCTGTGAGCCGATGTGGGAGCCTTGACGTCTCACAACTTTATGGGCCTCCATGGCCTGTTACAGGGATAGCTTGACAATCTGGGTATTTTCAGAAATTTATAGAGATAAATGTGTCTTGAATCTGAAGATAAGGGAGCAAGTTTAGAATACTGGATACCAGGAACAGGAAATTAGGTACTGCCATTTTGAATATACCTGCCATGTGTCATTTGAAAGAGGACTCAGTAGGTCACTGGAGGTTAATATTCTAATGAAGAATTTATTTAAATGTTTAAATGGTGGTACATGTTGTAATTGTATGTAATATCTCACATGTTGGTTCCTTAGTTATTTGTTTCATATTTTTACATAAATATAAAATGAAGGTTTTTTCTTGTGTTATTGGAACTCGTGTAATTAGAATTATATTGGAGGTCATGAACCCTTTAATAGGATACAGTGAAGTGATTCATCATTGAGTGATCTTTAACCCAGTTCTTGTGTTGCGTGACGCTGTCACGTGAGGTATTTAAAACTTGACACATTGACCGTTAGACAATTTATTATGGGTAATATATTAGGCTCTTTCAAATTTTTACAGTTTTGTTTTTAGTTGCAGAGATGTATATTGCATATGTGAAAAATCAGTGTCAATGACTGCAGTTTTAAAAATAGGTAATGGTGGCTGAGTCAGGGAATTTAAATTCAAAATGGAATTTTTATGTGGTTAACAGTTTTTTCATACATAACTTTTCACTTTTATTTTTCATATAAAAAGCTATTTCTCACATTTCAGTAAAATTATTAATGGAGTGTACAAATTTAATTTATTTTCTACCCTGAAGATGGAGGCAGCAGGTTATTTTGAACTGTTGTATAGATATCTGTGGTCTAGTGGTCAGCGTGCCTGGCTACAAATTCAGAGGTCCGGGTTCGATTCCCGGCGCTACACTTTTTCAGAGAAGTAGTGGGTTTGGAACAGGGTCCACTCCACCTCGTGATGATAACCGAGGAGCTATTTCAAGGAAAGAGCGGCTCCGGTCTAGAAAACCGAAATTAACGGCTGAGGGGATTCGTTGCACTGACCACGCGACACCCTCTATCAGCAAAAGTTGGCATTAAACTTCGCCGACAAGTGGCGGTCACTTAGTTGGTATGGTTCGCTTGCACACTGAAATCACCGGGGTTTTTTTTTGTGTACATATCTACCAAACTACATGGTGTCACATCCTTGAAGACTGTATTCTTTATATTTACTGCCATCAGAACCCGAGATCTCACCAATTTATTTTTGCGTTAAGATGTGAAGGACTGGATTCATCTGGCTCAAGGCAGGGACCCATGGCAGACACTTTTGCAAGTTCCAGATACTTCTGGGAATTTCTTGAACAGCTGAGCAATTTTTGGCTTCTCAAGAAGTACCCATCTCCGTGGAGTTAGTTACTGGTTCGGTGTAACCCCTACTGAACACAAAGCTCAAATTACCCATATCAAAGTTGTCAGAAGCAGCTTGTCATATATAAACACTGGCTCACAATATAATACCTAAAGGTAAAAGTATAACTTTTCTTCTACTTAATGGAGAAATATGCCATGAAAATCTGTGAAGACATTTTTGACTTCAGCATTAATGGAATTGAGTTGTCAGCTACATGCTCTGGTAACGGTGTCCCAGTTACTCAGTACATAGGAGAATGGTTGGGCCTGTTGATGACAGTTTGGGTTAGTCACTCATTTAGATGATTCTTGTAAGGGAATATTGCCTTAATAGCAGTTTTATAGTAATTAGCGAGTAGACTGGTGTAGCAGTAAGCTTGTAGATTTGTATTCATGAGGAGTCAGTTACATGCTATCCTGGCTAAGGTTATTCATATAGCCATGCCATAGCTCAAGCGGTTAGTCACTGACTTCCCACCGCGGTGGCCTGGTTTCAAACCCGGGTCTGGTCAAGTGGGATTTGTGGTGGACAAAGTGGCGCTGGGGTAGGTTTTCTCCAAGTACTTCGGTTTTCTCTGCCAATCTTCATTCCACCAAATTCTCCATCATCATAATCACCCAGGCAGGTACAATACGGCAATCAGTGGCCACTGCGCTGAGTGGACACAGCTGGACTCCACCCCCCCACTAAGCGAATTAAAAAAAAAGGTTATTCATGATTTTCCTCATTCTGTACAAGAGTTCTGGGATAGTATCTTCAAATAGACATGTCCGCCTTCTTCCAAATTCTCCCACCATTTACCATTCATGATGTCTGCGTATCTTATTTGGTACTGTAATTGGAACAGTGTTATTAAGTACTCAGGGAACCAATAAATAATTGTAATAACTCCCTGTGTAACTTTCTGCCTATGTTAATAGAACCTTAAGGTTCAGCACCACTAATAACAAAGCCTGCAATTGGACATGATTGTGGGCCAGTTCTATCCAGTTCCCATCACAACCTATCTCCTGAAGATTTATCTTAATATTATCATCCAGTTTCTTCCATAAGGTTCCATGTGACCAGTTTACAAGATGTTTCCCCGTCAAATTTCTGGTCTCCCAGGTTTCCAGCCTACATAACTTTCTGGATTTCATTACCCTAGCTGTAGCATATAAACTTCAAGGACGATGAGATAAACAGGGCATGTAGTGTGAATTGGAGAGATGAGTAATGCATATAGGATATTGGTGGGAAGGACAGAAGGAAAGGGACCACTTAGAAGACCAAGACATAGGTGGGTGGATAATAATAAAATGCATCTTAGACAGGATGGGATTGTATGGACTGGATTGATCTGCCTCAGGATAGTGAACAGTTGAGGTCTCTTGTGTGTAATGAACTTTGGATTCCATAAAATGCTGGGAACTTTTGAGTAGCTGCACAACTAGTGGCTTCTCAAGAAGGGCTTATCTCCATGAAGTTTAGTTAATTACTTACTATTTAGTAGTATATAAACTGCACATATTATGAATTTAACTCATTAAGTACTGTTGCTACTGTCTTTATGTTAAATTGTATAGGTTAACAGATTTCCATGCAGGGGCATCTGTATGCACTCCTTCACGAGCAGCCCTTCTGACTGGCCGTTTAGGTCTGCGTACTGGTCTTACCAAGAATTTTGGACCAGATTCATTAGGTGGTATACCTACCAATGAGACCACAATTGCAGAGATTCTATCTAGTGCCGGATACAGAACTGCAATGCTGGGTAAGTGGCTTCATAGACTTTTTATGGTGTACTTTGAGACAAAATATTTTGTAGATACTAATAAATTCGGACATCACAGAAAATTAGGTGAAATGCATACTTGCAAGCTTACCTTTCTGGAATACATATGTCAGTTTGCTGACAGCTGTGTGTGGGGAATTTACTAATCTAAAGATATTAGCTGTCCCTGTAACAGACCATGAAGGCCCATAGGGTTGTGAGATGTCGCGGTTCCCACATTTTCTCTAGACATTCGGCTCACAGATGGTGGTAAGATTGTCAGGCATGTGGTAGCGTAATTGGTTGTGGCACTATGCTACAAGCATTTTTATTTTTATTTATTAGAAGTTTGTGCATACATTGAACAAAACAATATGTAGCAGGTTTTGCTATGTATAATGTGCATTGTACATGAAAGTAAGACAAAGTTATTGTTTGATACAGGAAAGTGGCATCTTGGTACCCGACCAGGACACCATCCGCTGGATAAAGGGTTTCACTCATACTTAGGTGTCCCCTACAGTGTAGACATGGGGTGTGCTGATCCTCCAGGGATGAACTTTCCTCTTTGCCCAGGTTGTCCTGAAGGTAAAGTGGTTCAGAAATCGGAATGAAATTAACAGGGTAAGGTATCAGGCTCATGTTATATTATTGGATTTCATTAGCTTACATGCATGCCAAAATATATACGATGGGGTACCCAAAAGAAACCGAACTAATTTTTTTGTGGTCAGAGCTTTTGTAGTACCGCGTTTTGCCGCTATGAGCACATAGAGCTAACATTCCTGAGTCAATAAGCTAACTACCGTTGCTTCAGAAGGCAAGGACTAGTTTTGGCAGAGTTTATAGTGACAACTGTTCTGTATGATCGTCGTTTTTGCAATGGCCCGAACACATGAAAATGTTGAAAAAATTTGTGAAATCATCAAGGAAGATCGACGACGGACCATTGCAGAAATTGTGGAGCTGTCGGGAGTGACTTGGAGCTCAGTTCAGCGAATTTTGACAGAAGATTTGGGAATGAAAAGGATGGCTGCGAAATGCGTGCCATGACTGCTGACTGCTGAACAAAAACAAGGTCGCGTGGAAGCATGCTGTGCTTTGAAAGAAGAGTCCCGAAATGATCAAAACTTTTTTTCAGCGTTTTGCTGATGTTGCTGAGGTGAAGGAAAAAAACGACGGAGGCGCTGTCAAGCATCTCAAAAGATGAATTTAGACAGTGTTTTGAAAAATGGAATAAAAGACCAGACAAGTGTATTAGTGTAAGTGGAGAGTCATTTGAAGGGGGTTGAAGGTTTATGCTTAAAATTTGAATAAATAAGTTTAAACAAAAAAGTTCAGTTTCTTTTGGGTACCCCCTCGTATTGTTCCATGAATTTAAAGTAGATTATGAATAAGCACACAGGATGGTAGGGAGAGGGAAAGTTAGGACATACCAGAACAAGAAACCTCACTTAAGCTGGTATTGTTACGTAATGTAGCTGATACATCTTACCCTAGATCCGAAGTTAGCGATGTTTTTCTTTGCTGTACCACTTGATAGTAAATTTTAAAATTTAACATTCCAAGCATGCCAGCATTGTTTTTTATTTTAAAATTTATGGTTTGTTTTATTTACAGTATGTGTAACTGTATACTTGAATATGTGTAAGCAGAATACATATTCCATGCTGCATTTAGTGAAGATCTTATTGTTATTAGAATTGTACTGATGCTCTTACTAATGCGGCATATTGCATATTATTATAATGTTTGTCTTGTGACTTTGTCTTGATGTCTGGGATTAATTGGAAGAAAAGGAAAACACCTGTAAATTTCAGGTAATGTGTTCTGTCTTGATTAAAGTGCCATAGTAAAGAGGAAGTGGAGTCAATGTAGTGATGGGCTGCAGGCTGGCCGGCCCGGGTTCGAATCCCAGCATTCTTGGCGGCATTCAGACCGGCTCTGGGGCCCACTTGGCATTCTATCCAATAAGTATCAGGGGCTCTTTCCTTGGGAGTAAAGAGGTAGGGGAATGAAGCTGTGCACTCACCTCTGTCTACTGGCAAGGTCAGGAATGGTGGTACTGTACCTCCACTCCGCTGTATGTCTTCATGGCATAGTGCTTACCTAATTAATTATATTGATAACTTTACCTTTTTTATGTAGTAAAATATATATTTTATTCCACCCTCCTGTTGCTTTGATGTATCACTTCACATACTTCCATCATTGGGCCGTGCCATAGCTCAAGCAGTTAGTCGCTGGCTTCCCACCGCGGCGGCCTGGGTTCGATCCCGGGTCTGGTCAAGTGGAAATTGTGGTGGACAAAGTGGCACTGGGGCAGGTTTTCTACCAGTACTTCGGTTTCCCCTGCCAATCTGCATTCCACCAATTGCTCCACAATGACCCTCACCTATCATCTGGGACTGGTACAATAGACCAGAATGCAAGGGACTTAGTCCCACCCCACTAGCAATAAAAAAATACTTCCATCATTAATGTAAATTTGTTTACAAAATACTTCATCATTTAAAATAATGTTAAAATTGCAGTTACTGCTACTTGTTTCTGCCATACTTGGCCATCCAGAAGCAGCTGTTCCCTTATTGAAATAGCCATACTGCATTAGTTAAATATTTAGTTAAATTATTAAATTAATTAAAATATTCCAGTATTATTCATTTTTTTAATTCACTCATTTGAATATATTTGCTTGAGAATATGACTCTTAATCTTTTCTTATACTACTCTCTTCTTGTGGCATCTGTGTTTTTTGCATCGTTTTGTTTAGCCATGTGAATATCTGTGTGTTGTTATCATTGTTATATTTATATGCCCCATTAGTATGTATGTTCCCACGCAGTTGGTCTAGTCAAGTGTATGTCACTTTATTAGAGAGGAAATATTTTTGTGATCTGATAGCTTGGATAAGAAGTTCATGTAAACTTTCTTCATGTGACATGGTGTGTGCTGTAAGTTGTTGACTCTTCTCCAGTACGTTTTAACATTAATAAAGAGAACGGGTATAGTTTAAAAGCAGTACCTTCATTTACCCAGAAAATTATTTAAATGAAATAGTTTGACTGAAGCATTGCTTTCTTCCAAGATAACAGTGTGTATCACTGTGCTTCCGCACTGTCCAACTGCATTATGGATCCCGCACTGCCTCTGTATAGCAACCGTTCCATTGCACATCAACCAGTGAAACTGGCAGACCTAGCCACAATGTATGCTGAATTTGCCAGCAACTTCATTCGCAGTACGTAAGTAGACACTCGATCCATCCAGCTCCCGTTGAGGAACATACAGTAAATTTCATTGCCAAATATTCTTGGGCTTTTGCATATGTAATGATAGAGCCTTGCACATGACATGCTGCATTCATCTCACATCTAGTAGCTAAAAATTGATTTTCGCATTCAGTTAATTTTATTGTTGTTCAGAATGACATTGCAGTACATCAACACTGTCAAATGTTTCACATTTCAGAGAGCATTAGTAGTTTTGAAATTTATTGTTGGGTGTCAGCATTGATCAAGGAGAATATTCTTGTCACCATTCACGATGTTTGAATTGTGTATGCAATTCTGGGAGAGTCAGAAATATATGCTTGATGGTATAAAATCTGGTGGTGGCATGCCAAGACCTCTTTTCTGTAACAGTCAGATTTTTAACCCTTACAATATAGTGTGACCTTTGACTTAGTCCACATCAAGAATTTTTTGTTGCATTCTCTAAATTTTTACTTTAAAATTGTATTATTTTAAGAGAATGGTGAGAAAATAATTTGCAGTGAAGGGGTAGAGGAATTTGTATGGAAAGAACTGAAATCATTGTTATAATCGAGACAAAGGTCCCAGAATTTTCTCTCTGTTGTTTTGGCTGCTGAAGGAGCCAATTAGAAGTCAGAAATTGAACACAGTGAGCAGGCGTATCCATGATTTTTCTATGGAGGCTTAAGGAACTTCTTTACATCTGAATTTGTGATGCTTGTACAGTGATAGAAAGATGTTTAGTTGGTTGCTGGTCTGTGTGGTTGTTACAGATCTTCCGTGCCTTACTTCCTTTATGCTGCACTGTCACACATGCATGTACCACTGGCCCACGGCCATAGATACGACAATGTGACCAGGCGAGGAGAATATGCAGACACTCTCCGAGAACTAGATGGGCTTGTGGCATCTATCTTATCTGCTGTGAAGCAGACAAACAACAATACTCTTTTTTGGTTCACAAGTTAGTATGAATTGGCTGCTTATTTTGGAGTGAATGTGGAAATGAGGTTTTAAAACGTTGAAGAAATGAGAACCAAGTGGCTACAAACTGCAATCAAGTTTGAGATTCCTTCGTTTTTTTTACATAACCCTTTCGATTCTATTATTTCAATAGAAAATATTTCTACAGTTGTTTGTCTGCTTGTGACTGTCACTGTCAGAAAATTGTTGGTGCTGTTGTTTTCTAATGTTAGTCTCTGCTGTAGCAGTGTTGAAGAATTTATTAGTGTATTTTTCTTCAAATTCCTCCATCTGTGTCTCAAGGCTAGAAGTATTATAGGTTCTGTCTGATTTATGCAATATAGTGACATATTTCACTGCATGATTTCCAAGAGTAGAAATTAACACTACACATTGATATTCAAATTCAAATTTCATGGACAAATACTATGTTTGTAATTGTTGACATACACAAGAATTCATCATACAATATTTGTAGGTATATTTGTGATCTATTTCTGTACTAAATTTCATATGCCCAACTTTAATGTTTCATAGTTAGCACTATTATTTAGTGGCCTCCATAGTCTAGGGGTGACGTTCCCATCTCATGACTGAAGGTACGCGGGTTCAAACCCAGCGGAGGTCGTGGAATTTTTAAGGGCGGAAAAATTTAGGGAACAAGTCCTCCGGGAGGGACTTTAAGCCGTGGGTCCCGTGTCGTAGATTTACGGCACGTAAAAGATCCTCATGTCTCTAGGAGACCTCTGAGCTAAATTAGGCAACAATTTCCCACCCAAGTAGTTTCCAGTGCCTCTGGTAAATGGGGGAAATATCAGGTACCGACGGCCAACCTCGTTGGCTGAACGGGGCTGATAGCACGCACCAGTACCGGTAGGCTATGGCGACAGTAGAAATTAAAAGGGGACACACAATGGACCAATAACTGGTCTAAGTGCATGGGGAAACCCACCCCCTCTAATAATAATAATAGCACTATTATTTAGAAAGTTTAATACAAATATTATACAGCCACCATGCTGCTGTTTTACATTATGGGGAAGGGCCCATTCTATGGGGATCTCAGACCACACAAAATGTTAGCATCTTGCATTAATTGCCACTAATGTTGCTCACATCACAGAAGTTGGGACAGATGCAGTGTTGCTATTATTGCTGCAAAGAAATTAAACAGTATTGTAATGTGGATGGTGCAATAGGAAGTAGGGGTCACGTGAACTCTGCGTTTCCACGACTGACGTCACATGCCCCCACTCCTTCCATCACTACACAACGTTCGGTAAACACCCCTCCCCGCTAGGCTGTGACATCATGCAACAGGCGAGTCCATGCAGTGACTATTGCTGGGCAATCGGTAAACACAACGATTACGCAACAGGGCAGCAAGGCATGTTTTCCACTGTCCTGCTGAGAGTTTATAAGAGAAACTGGAATGCCTAAGGGAGAGAGTGGAAGTCTAGCAGTCGCCAGAGTTAGTTCAGCATTAGCAGTTGGTTTCTAGCCTTCAAAGAGATGAGGTGGAGTCCAGCAGCCATGAGTTGTTGTTAAGTTGTATCGAGTGAATGGCAGTTTAAGTGTAAGAGCGAGTGTGGAATAAATCTGTTAGATCCAAAACGGCGTGAAGTTATTTGTCATGTGACAAACACCCAACATGTGACAGTATGAAAATTTGGTAGAGAGATGAAAAATACTTACCAACAATTTTAATCAGAAAAGCTGAAGGGAAGAGACCACTAAGGAGACTCAGGTGTAGCGGACAGGAGAATGATATTGAAATGGATGTTGGAAAAATATTTTAGGATGAGGACTGGATTCACCTTTCTTGGGGTTGGGTCCATTGATTGGCTCATATGAACACAGTAATGATTCTTTGAGTTCCATGAAAGGTGGGAAATTTCTTAACCAGCTGAGCAACTATCACTTTCTCAAGAAGGATTATGATATTAGTTATGGAAATTGGGCATTTTCCAATATAGTGATATGCATATGAAATTCAATAAAAATATGTTCAAAAATTATAAACAGACACAAATGCACACACATGTACATGTATAGCAAAGCCTATATTCCCATAAGAAGTAATGAATTATTAATGGATAATAAAAATTGCGAATAAGAGAGTAACTAGTGATGTTAAAGTAGAAAAAAGAAGGGTTATATATTTTTTGGTTTTCTGTTTGTTTTTATGTTTTAATGTCTGGGAATATGAGCAGAAAACCATAATAATTTGAACATAGCTACCTCAACTCAGAGAAAATTGAGTGCAGTCTTAAAGTCATTGTGTGTTGTGGAATTTGAAGTTTTCACAGTGATTATTCTGAAGAATTCTGCCTTCTGGGATATAATGCTGTATAGTACATTGAAAATCAAACAGTGTTTTGGAGGAATATTTACATTCCATCTTCAAGGTCAATGAATAAGCCAAGCAAGAAGCTCTGCTTTGCTCTCTGGTTTCTTACTTGACTTATTCTTTGTCCATGAAGATGGAGGCAACACGTTTCTGTGAAATTTCAGTTGATTTTCAACAGACTACATGGTGTTATATCCCAGAAGGTAGAACCTTTCCTCGCATCATTATTTGGCATGAAGACTACATTTACTATTGCAGCTGACAATGGGCCATGGGAAGAGAAGTGTGGTCTGTCAGGTTCTGTTGGTCCATTCATTGGGATGTGGCAGGCTTCTCCCATGGGAGGTGGTGGAGGTGCGGTAGCAAAGAAGACAATTTGGGAGGCAGGGCATCGTGTACCATCCATCATATATTGGCCCGAGCACACTGAGGTACTGGCATTTATTCTAACTGAAAGTGCCTTATGTCAGCTAGATTACTTAGGAGGGTGACTAGGGTATGAACTGAATGAGTGTAATTTGATTCCAGGCAGATGCATAATGTTTTTCTTTTACTACTGCATACACTCACTCTGGGGTCTGCCCATCCCCCCATTCAGTAGAAACCAGGGGTCATTTTTTTTTTCTTGGGGTAAAGTGGCTGGGACATGAATCTGATCGCCCACTTCCATGTGTTGGAGAACTTAATGCATTGAGCTTTATCTGTACTTCCTCTTTGTCTTCGTGATGTTGCACTTGAGCACGGGGAGAACTTTGGTTTAATTCACCAGTATGTTGTAATCTAGGATGATGATATTTGGAGGAATGTGGCTTGGTGGGTGATGGTCCTCATGATCACTTTTGGAGAACTGTTATCAGCAAGTGTCCAAATTTATCGTACCCAAATATGACTACTGTAAGTTAGTGCCTAATTCAGGCAGTGCTTAGGAAGGAAGAATTTGTACGCGAACTGTTATTTTACAATGATGAATGTGTTTATAGAATCAAAATGTGAGAAAAATGTTGTATGTATATTTACTACTAATAATTTCTTCAATATAATTGTGCTTTTTAGTGCCTTTCTTTAATGTAATCTGATAGACCAGTGATTCCCAAATTAAGTTGTCTGCAGTCTTTTAGTCCCATAGTGAGAGATTTTATTATGAATGCCAACATAAAAAGTAGTCAATTTCTTTATGGAAACCATCACAACAACTATATCAAGGTCAGTGCCTAGTTTGGCTCTGCTACATGTTTTGGCTATTAAAAGTCATCATCAGGCAAATACATGGCTAACATATATACACCACTGAACTGCAGTACTAATAAAATTGGATACAATAATATTAATTATATTAAAGTACTTGGCATAAAAGTACAATAAATTAGATTATAATTATAATACAAGAATAAAATACTTCGATTGATGCTTTACATCATTGAGTCAGTCGTTGGTTTTTATGATTTTGTTGTATTCCCACGGACAAAAAAAAGGTAGTATTTTATAAACACCGGAATTCCAAACATTGATTTGTAAGCTAATTTTCTGAGCTTACTTTTTGCCCTGGTGAGTGGAAACAACTATTTTCTTAATATTTTTGCTTGTAGATGATATTTTAACTTTAAGTTTCTTTCCAGCATTTATTGTATAACTGATTCAAAGTCTGTATTTATTAATTATATTTTGCAATAACAAGACATTCTCTGGTTGGAAAATTCTTATATATATATATATATATATATGTAACGTGGCGTTACGTGTTCATGATAAGGATAGGTTTATCCATGACAATTACTCTAACCCAGAAACCCGTGAATCTAGCAATAATTGCGAACAGGATCGCATGCAAAGTNTGGTGGTGGTGGTGGTGGTGGCGGCATCAGTGGTGATGACGATGATGACTAATAAAGAAAGAAGATTTATACTAGAAACAGACATTTTTTTTTCTAATCCCATTTATGACACAGAAAAGTCTTCATTTTCAATGCAGTTTTTCCTTTGAGTACCATGCAAAACTGTTGTTGATCTCTGCCCATTTTACACTTCTAGTTTTTGGTTTTGGTTTGCAGTTGCACATAACACTTCTGAGACCAAAGAGTTTGGTTATCACTGTTATAGACCATTAGAAAGTGAGTTCTGACAAAATATGTCATGAAATTCTTAGGAAGAAGTGTTGCGTTCCTCAAGAAGAACCAGAAGTTGTTCCTGTATTTTTTTCAGGCTGGAACTGTGTCCAATGCTCTGACATCAAGTCTAGATATACTACCCACACTGGCTATGCTAGCAGGAGTGAAGATTCCTGGGGACAGATATTTTGACGGAGTGGACATGACATCTGTCATCACTGGTTCTGCCCACAGTATCAGAGAGGTACATCATTCAGGCATACCAAAAAGTAGCGTTGTGCTGGTTGAAGCTGTTTATATGTAAAGATTTGAAAATTCTGGAAAATGTGCTTTTATTTTACATACTTAAAGCATTAAAGTAAGGTGTGGAAATATTAAATTCAAGACAGTTACACATACAACATACAAGAACACATGCATATCTACATAGACCAGGTGTCAGATGATAGGGATTAAGATTATGTAATGCTCCACAGGTTATAATATCCATTCTTATCCCTAAAGATGAACATGTGGTTATCTTCCAAGAAGCTGTTTGTCATTTTTTATTTAGAGGTGGATATTGAATGAATGACAGTTATAGCGAACAGAACCTGCATGCTCTATCTGAAAGCTGTCAAAGTAATTGCATATTTGAAAGGTACTCCCCATTTTATATTCAGAGTGTAGAGTTTATGCTAATGAATTTTGAATGATAAAATGTTGTACTCCTAGCATTATTTGTTTACTCTTTTTACTGCACAAGTCTCTTGTCATATAAGTTATATTTTTTGGTATTTTATGGTGTTTAGCATATACAGTCAACACACCATACATTTTTAACATTTTAAAATTTGACTTCACATGATTTAAGGAAGAATGGTTAAGTCACGAAATGTCACTTTTCCAAAAAGAAGAAACATTTTAGATATGTACACAATAATGTATTGTAACATGTTTGGCCACTGAAGACGCTGTTCAGTTTGTTAATTGGTTTATTTAATAACCTACAAGTCATAACTACAATTAATTATGGCACTGTTACGGGTTTACGCACTTTACAAGCTACACAATAATCTCTTCACTCTCTCTTCAGTAGCCTTCACGTATTTATAACGCAGGAGCTATACAAGTGTCACTGAATTACACACTCCCAATACCTTCTCAGTTATCACAAACTATCACTGATTATCACACATAAACTCTTCTGATCACACATCCGGTTCTTCGTTTTCCATGGCTGCTATACTTCAACTGAACTTATGACGTACGCTTCGCATTCACAATTCATTCAGAACACCTGAACTCGGCGACTGCTAGACTTCCACTGATCTACTTAGGCATTCCAGTTTCTCTTATAAACCCTCATACGGACAGCGGGAAATGCACCTCGCTTCCCTGTTGGGTAATTGCCGTGTTTGCAGATTGCCTAGCAATAGTCGCTGCACGGACTCTGCTGTTGTATGACATTACAGCCTAGTGGGGAGGGGTGTTTACTGAGCGTTGCGTAGTTACGGGATGAGTGGGGATGTATGACAGCACTCTAAACACTCACAGAGTTGTCACGTAGTAACGCGCCGATACAATCCACAACTCTCAAGTTGCACGCATGCTCCGAGGCCTCTGTGGCTCAACAGTTCCTGCATAGAGCAAATATGTCACAGTATTTAACTCAGTATTTCATTATATCAATGAAGAAAAAGTATTGTGCTTAGAGACATAATCTGGTTTTTATTTGATCCTGTAAATAACAAAAAATTTATGATACACTTATATTATATTAACCAATTTTTGACATAACCATCTTTTCTGTAATACCACAAATATTTTCTTGAATGCATGCTACTCATTCTGAGTCATACCATTTTTCCTTACAGTCCTTACCACCTGAAATTTCTTCCAGCTTGAAACAAGTCTGAACCGTGCACAACAGACTCATATCATGGTCCTACAAGTTACAACACCACATTGCATTTGGTAGTTGAATGCAGTGTTTTGGAGGAACATATTACCTCTATCCTATATATAGTGACGGTGTATTCCTCTGAAATATTGATAGCCACCTTCTTGATAACACAATTTTGTGATCCAAGAGACCATGATACTAATCTTCACTGCTGTGAAAACCTCAGAACTTATATAAATATCATACTATTCACAATTGAAGTCATATTGCAGAAGGAGTGTCATTTTCACAGATGAAACAATGTAAGTGTTATGTCTAATAAGTTCAGGTCCATGGAATAGAATCTTCTTGAGAAGCTGATAGTCACTTAAATGGCTATATTCTGCCATTTATTGAACTTGAATGTTCATTATGGTGTTTAAAATAACCCTCCACTGGACCATATCCTAAGCCAGTTGAATCCAGTCTGCACTCTGCCATTCTATTTAAGATCCATCTTAATAGTATCATCTTAAGTTGTGTAAGTTCTGTAAATGCTCACAACCCATCACGTTTTGTGACTAAAATTTTGTATGCATTTCTCACCTCCACATGCATGCCACATCTTGCTAACCTCACTCCTTTTTAATATAAAAAGAGAAATAACTATTGTGTTACACATAGGGAAAAGGTACAGCATATTTTTATTATTTTTGGCATTGGTTTGTAAACTCACATTGTCAGTTTATGTGAATATATTTATTGTTAAATATAATATTTTATCCACTATTCTTGTTATGTTACAGTTATTATGTGTAATATTTCTGTTGTTTAATATCATTAAGATTGTGAATCACTATTGATTTTGTATGATTTTATTGTTACACATTTAAATCTTGCTCCTAAAAGTGCTTATTCAGAGAAATTTTAATGGTGTTTCTCAGGCTTTCCAGGCAAATGCCAAGATAGTACCTGAAATTCGTCTGTAACTGCTTCCTTCTACTCGTATATCCTTTCCTGTACATATCTGATGTTTCTGTAATTCAGTTCTGTATAATTACAACAGTTGTAAGCATTGCTGAATGAAGTATAATCAAGTAAATGCATTGTTCAGTTAATCTGTAAAGGCGCGTCCACATTACTCGTGCTCGTGCTCATTGGGAGACTCGCCAGGCTTCGGTGTGTGGGATCCGTACATTTACTTGTAGCATATATAGGCTGTAGTAGTATTTTAATTTATTGACTATAGTTTTTAAATTAAAAATTAAAAATTTGCTTTTCTCATGACTTGTCATATTGTCCACATTACTCGCAAGCATAGCGAGTCACACGAGCACAAGTAATGTGGACGCGCCTTAAGACACTTCACATGACCACATATTGAGTAGTCACTATATATCTCAGTTTATTAATATGGAAAGAAACGAAAGCTACCAATAATTACGTGAATAAAAGTATACATGAAGAGACATGACATTTACCATACTGACAGTTGCAGTCATGATACTTAGTAGAAGTGAAGGTAATAAGATTTTTACATTTGCTGAACAATAAATCAGCTAATAAGTACTAATAAGTATTTGTTATCAATTGATAGGAATTAATATTCTGTAAGATTCTGCATTGCATTTAGTATTATTCTTGCACTGTACTCTGAAAACTATAGTGTGTAAAATTTACTTGGATTTGTGGACCTTCTCTGTGTGCACAGGTGTTGTTCCATCCACACAGTGGGAATGGAAAGGAAGGGGAAATTGGTGCGGTACGTATTGGGAGCTACAAAGTTGTATATTACACCGGTAAGTGTAATCCCTCTAAAAAGAAAGAGCTTCTAACCATAAAAGTATAATTTTGGGCTACTGAGTTATAATTTCTTTCCATTAAACTACTTTCCCAAAATTTGTTGGAGGATCCCAGTGAGGGTGGGAGTACATATTTCAGCACACAAGAGTACTCATCTACATTGTAGTAGATGGCTGATGTTAAATGGAAGGCATGCAGGCTTCAGAGTTCATGTTTGGATTACAGGATATACATTCTGAATATTTTATATGTATATATGACAATGTCTCTGGCTTGTTTCACTGTTTAAAAGTCAAAGAGTGGCAAATATCATCATCTTGCCACAAAATGCCTTCGCAGCCTGAATGTCCAAGAATTTTTTCATGATTAGTGTCAAAGTCAACAGTTTTCCACTCAGTTATAAATAGTTTACCTGTATAGACACAAACAGGTATCCAAACTTTTGTTGTATTTAATACAAATGAAATGTTTTTACCCTACTTGATAGACAGGATGTTATTTGTTTGTGAGATCCTCTAAACATTAATGTGCAGGAGGGGTTCCTGATTGCTTTGGACACTCAGGGCCAGCACAAAGCCATGCGGATTCTCCACTAGTGTTCAAGCTTGATGTTGACCCATCAGAGAGCTCCCCTCTTGAACACAACAGCAGTGAGTACGTTGTTGCAACGGAATTGGCAAGAATGGCTCTTAGGAGTTTACAGGACAGTATCCGGGCTGACAACACAAGTACAGTTGACTACAGTAGGAGTCATGATGGATGGGTTTGTTGTAACAAAAATAGCCCCATTTGCCGTTGTCCTTGGGACTAGATGATGCCATACAAGATGGAAGAAAACTCATCTAAGACAACATTTTCCTATACAAGAATCTTCAGTTTACAGAATAATATACTAATCTTGTCTCATTTCAGTCAGTATCTAATTATTTAGTACATAAAATCGTTTGGGTTTCCCAATTCTCACCAGCTGTGAACCAGACAAAGGTGTCACACTGTATTCTGCCACTTCAGTTCCAGACAGTAGACAATCTCGAAAATATTAAAATTTTTTTATATGGGTACAACTGATGGTTATAGAAAGCTTCATTAATAATTGTCAATTTTTTTCTAACCGAATTCACATAAGATTTTACGAACCTCAGTAGCAGTTCTGTCTGTACCATCCTCAACTGAGAATTGAACTGAGAATCCCCTAGCTATGAGTCACATTGCTGTATACCTTCTGAATATATCAGAACTGTCATGTCATGCATAATGTAGTAGAACGCAGTAAATTAAATACTTCCTCTCACATCCAAAATCTTAAAAAGACAGTGTATAAAGAGCATCAATATTATGTACTGCGGCAGTGATAGTGAATTGAGTGAATAACAGCTAAGTACTAAAAATATCTTCTATTTTTAACCGTAATTCGCTGCACATGATCTCATTTTAGATGAAAGACTTGTTTATTCTGAATAACCAGAAAAAATCACACAAAGAAATTTTAATGTTTGATTCTCAGAAAGCAAATGAAAAGAGGAGTGTAACATTCACACTTGAAATTATTTTTCAATAAAAAATGTTTAATTATCAGCCATTATGCAGTGTTTAAAATGTTTTCATGTGTGTTATCCTGTATGGCTTCCTTTTCTCAGTTGAAAAAACATAATTAAGAATTTCTAAGAAAATCAGGAGGGACTGGAATTGAAATAAACATATTCTCTTATGCTTTCTGCTGATGATTTTAAAATACTATACAAGAACAAGAAAGCCACAAAGAAGAACAGGGAGCTCTATTACTCGTAAATGGTAGTCATGAGCTTGGTTGGGAGGAAATTAGATGATGTCCTATCACCACAGTGCAGGACAAAATCATCAGGTGGGATAATTATTTGAGAACATGGCTAGAAAGAAAAGAAGATGGAGAAATTTGAATAATGAATAGGTTCATAATTTGTACCCTTTTACAATATTATATTTAAGCATCCTGTTACACTCTGCACAGGGAGCCTACACAGAATAACACCTGAACAGTGCTGAAAACAAGAAGTAGCCGCTGCAGCACTATAGACATAGGGCAGGTAACCCTGAGAATTTTAAATTTTAAAATTCGAAAAAATTCTAAAGAAATTTTTAAAATTGGAATTGAAGATTTTAAAAGTGCCAGTTTATGAAAATCAAATTGACGTGTGTAGGTTAACAAAGATTTTGTACATATGTGACTGATATCAGCGGGGAAGATTCTGATATAGCGAAACCTCTTAGCAATGGCGAAATGAACAATTGAGAAGACTAGTGTTTTTTAAATTTTAAACTACGTGCAGTGTAGCAGCTACATGAGAGTATACACCTGATGATGGCCGTTTGCGGCCAAAACATGTAGTACAGAAGAAAGGAAGACAAAAGAAATACAGTAAATTGTTACACTTAGGACAGAGTTTGTGTCATATATTGTACCCTTTGGCTAAATATTATTAAGGCAACAAAATTAATGAGAATGAAATATTCAGTACATATAGCATGATAGGGGAACTCCAAAATTTTAGTTGATAAATCTGACCATCTGGAAGATCTGGGGATAGTGTGAATGTTAAAGAAACAGTACATGAGGGCATGGACTTGATTAATCAGGTCAAGGATTGGTTGCAGTGGTGGACCTTCTTGAACATGGTAATGAAGCTTTTGGTTCCATAAAACAGGAAATTTTTTGAACAAGTGAACCGACCTCACCTTGTCAAAAGGAACTCCGATTCATGGAGTTGGTTAGTTAGATTTCATTTACGTATCTCATTCAGCGTGGCAGTGGGAAAGCGATATTTTAGGTGGACCATAGCTGTGTTATGGAAGTGCTGAATTTTAAGTTCATTTGCTTAAAATGATGTGCATATTTGATTTTTCAAGTATGGTTGTATACTTATCAGGCACTGATACAATAGATATTGATACTTTTGATTTTTAAGGATACAGTATGACACGGAATAAGCTGATATATATCAGTAAACAGGATGGATGTCAGATCTTCGCTCATGTATGATTCAAGGTTCTTCTACACAGCTAAAGTGAGATATGATAAAGTTTATTTCATAATGTGAAGATAAGGGCAATCAATCTTCACAGCTTTTCTTTTGTCGCTTCACATGCTGACTGAATTTTATGCATTTTAATATTGAGTTGTTGGCCCTGATTATGGAATAATCTCAGATATACACATCACCTTTAGAAACAATGAGAAAGAAGGCTGAGTGTTACAACATTTCAATAAAAGATATTTATAAGGTGACTGTGAATTTTGCTTTGTAATTATTGATAAGGCTGGTCACAGTAACGGAGTGGTCTAAGGCGTGCACTGTCTTTGCTCGCTCGGAAGCCGGAATCATGGGTTCGAATCCCACTCAGGGCATGGATGTTTGTGTGCGTTTTTCTGTGTTTGTGTACAGGTAGAGGCCTTGCGACGAGCTGATCACCCACCCAGGGAGTCCTACCGAATGTCTAAGATCTAGAAAAACCGAAGTGAACGGAGTTCATGGAGGTAGGCCTTGGCCCACTGGGGCTGTAGTGCCAAAGGGAAAAAAATTATTGCTAAGAAGGATCACTGTATTTGAATCAAGAGACTAATAGTTAATATGCTGTTTTCCTTGTAATTGTTAAAACTGTATTTCTTTGTATTTAGTAGGAATATTATGTAAATTCATAGCAGTTACGTGGTAAATATACCACCTTCACCATCAGTTTCATGTGTGAGGCAGAGTTATGGAAGAGCAGACAGCGAGACCTTACAAATGACTTACTGCGCACAATGGAAGTGTAGATGGGAACTTGGCTGTGAATGGCAGTTTGCAGTATTCATTTAAAGAATAGACCAGTAATGGTTCTTTTGTTATAAGAAATGTATAGCTTTTCCTGTCTTTTATGTAGATCTGTTGGCAATAAAGGTTTCTCTGATCTTGTGTTTTGTTAGTAGCTATTCTGTTTATTAGCTCCTTTTAACATTGTGTGTTTTGATACTTATTGATGTTTTATACAAACTCTGTGTTGTTTTATATTTTCCTTTATGGCTAATTTAAGCTAATAAAGCCAAAAGGTTCACTGGACTGTGTTGAAATTCAGATTATTCAATTGCTTACTTGTTGAATCTTTCATTTAGCAGTACTTCATGTGTTTCATATATACAGGGTGTCCCAGGAGGAATGGACCAAACTTCGGGAGGGTGTTCCTTATGTTAAAGTATGCCGATATAACCCAAAACACCTATGTCCAAAGTTGAACGGTTATGGAGATAATGGCCAGAGAAGTGTCAAACTTTGACCGGCGTTGCACACTTGTTTATTAGAAAATACATATTAAAACTGGCAGGAATATGTGGATTCTGTAATGTTAATAATGTACGTAACATCAAACTAACTTGTGAGTGACATGAAGCCATAAAATTGAAGTACAAAATACTCGCTCGCCATGTCATAATTGTCCTTAGGGTTTCCAAGCACTATACATGACACATGAATGGCAAGCGCTGACGTAACGTGGCTGACTGCGCGTTCTGATAAAGCCAACTACATACGTACGGCTAGGATGAATCACGGCACTCAAGGACAAACATAGATAAGGCCTCTCAGCTGAGAGGTACAGTGCGTGGACCTGCCAGAAGACCACACTTTTCTTGGGCCATTATCTCCGTAACCATTCAACTTTGGACATAGGGTTATATCGGCATACTTTAACATGAGGAACACCCTCCCAAAGTTTGGTCCATTCCTCCTGGGACACTCTGTATAGTGTTGAATGGTAAGATGGTAATGGAGGATGAGTTTGGCGTATGGAAAGGAATCAAGTTATGGTCTGATTTAAAGTAATATTCAGTAAATGATACAAATTCCGTCCCAAGTGCAAACAATATATATTATATGTCTTTGATCTTGTTCTTTCTACACTACATGTTTCGGCCTCTATCGGCCA